TGCGTTAGGCGTAGGATCCCCTGTTTTGTTTAGCCTTGGCTCCAGCCTTGCTCCTCCAACCCCTACTGCCACTGCCGCGCTCTCCTTCATCCTGGACTCCGGTGCTTCCCGGTGTTTCTTTCGGGACTCCACTACACTTACGCCGCTTGCCACTCCCGCTGCAGTTGCCCTTGCAGACCCTTCCTCCGGTCCTGTAGTCACCCGTAGCTCCACCACCCTTCCCTGTTCGGCGGTTCCTTCGGGCTCCCTTACAGGCCTGCACATCCTCTCGTTCTCTAGGAACCTAGTTGGTGTCGGCTGCCTCCAAGACTTTGGCGTCACCACTACGTTCCCTGGTCATGAGCGGTATGCTGTCTGTACCGAGGCCGCCACTTGTGCTCCCCTCACCACGTTCCCACGGGACCTGGTGTCTGGCCTGTTCACACTGGACACCGCGTCCCCCCCGGTTCGGACGTCTCCCCAGGTGTTTGCGTCTACCCAGGTTGCTGCGACCTGCTTGTGTCGGTCGCTTACTCACCCGACGCTTCTGTGGCACCACCGTCTATATCACACTGCCCTCACACGTCTTTGTCACATGTCTCAACACGGTCTTGTCTTAGGTCTCCCTGAGTCGTTCCTCGTGCTACCCTCCTCACCAGCGCTGCCATGCACGCCCTGTGTTGAGGGCCGGCTTCGCCGTGCCCCTCACTCCTCCTCATTCCCCCCCACCGCCGCACCGCTGCGGACCCTGCACATGGACGTCTGGGGCCCCGCCCCCATCTATGGGCCACGTCGAGAGCGCTACTTCCTAGTGCTTGTCGACGACTACACGCGCTACACCACGGTGTTTCCCCTGGAGCGGAAGGCCGACGTGCCTGACGTTCTTATCCTATGGCTTGTCTCTGCGCGTCTTCACCGAGGTCTCCCTGTGTTGCGTCTTCACTCCGACCGTGGTGGCGAGTTCGCCTCTGGCTGCCTTGGTCGCTTCTGTCGTGCGGAGGGCATCACCCAGACGTTCACCCTGCTGGACTCCCTGCAGCAGAATGGGGTGGCTGAGCGACGCATCGGTTTGGTCATGGGGGTGGCTCGTACCTCCATTATCCATGCCGGTGCACCCCATTCTCTGTGGCCGTTCGTTGTTCGCTACGCTGCTCACCAGCTTAACCTGTGGCCGCACCCTCTGCAGCCGTAGGTTTCGCCGACCCTCCTCTGGACCGGGTCCCCTTGTGACGCGTCTGCATTCCACATATGGGGATGCCTTGCTCACGTCCATGCCTCTAGCATGGACAAGCTTACTGCCCGCACCGTCCCCTGTGTCTTCCCAGGATTCCCCCTCGACTCGTCTGACTAGCACTTTTACCACCCACCGTCTCATTGCTTCTTGGATTCCTGCAACGCCACCTTTGACGAGTCCGTCTCCTTTTACCACCGCTTTCCCCACCGTGGTCCTCCGGTCACCCCCCCCTGTTCCTGGTTCCCCCTCCCCCGGTTGCCCCGCCCCCCCCCCCCTCCCCTCCCCACCCCGTCTGGTGTGTCTCACGTCACACCTCTCCCGTCGGGTGTCCTTGCCGAGGAGTCTTCTGACTGTTGCGGCTCAGCGGAGTCCCTCCCCCTGCCCCTCCCCGCCCCGGTCTCTTCTTCCCCGTCGCCGCCGTTGCTGTCACCGCCGCAGCCGCCTCCGCCGCTGCCGTCGCCGCCGTGGCTGCAGCCGCTGTCCTCACCGCCGCTGGAGTTCGTGCGTTCTGGGGGTGCTGGGGAGTGTGCTGGAGCGGGTACTGGAGCGGGTTCCCGTTCTTGGGGTGCTGGCATGGAGCTTCTCGGAGGGAGCCGTGCTATCGCTGGAGGTTCTGGTGTTGGAGTCGGGCAGCAGTCGTCGCAGTCGCTCCTGGTGTCCGCTCTTCGCCTCTTCGGTCTTCCTTCCCCTTTCCGCGTGCCAGTGCCTCCTCCGTCGTCGCCGCCTCCTCCTCTGCCGGTCTACGGCCCAGTGTTTCCTCCCCCGGACTCCTCTCTGGCTCTTTTCCCTCCCCGTTCTCCTCCTGTGTCTCCTCCCCTCTCTCCTGACCCGACTCCTTTGTCTAACGTCTGGTCTCGTCATCCGTCTCGTGCTCGTCCTACCTCCCCTGTTCAGCGGTCTCACCCTATGTTGCTTCTCTCCCACGCGTCTCGTGCTCCTTCGCTCCTCCCGTCTCCTCCTCCGTCGTCGCTTGCTGTGGCTCCGCCCCCGTTCTCGGACTTCCTCCGTGCTGCATGTCCCCTTGTTCCTCGTGTCCTTGCCTCTCTCGTTACCGACCCGTCCATTCCTGTCTCGAGTCTGTCGGCTCTTGTCGCTGCTGTCACTGACTTCGCCTCTACCCGCCGCCTGGACTACGCCACCGCTCTGGTCTCTGACCCTGCCTACCCTCCGTCCTTCGGGGGTATGGCTGCCCTTGGCAGTGACGTCCTAGAGGACAGGCACTACGAGCTCGCTTTCTTGTCTGAGGCCGCACCCCATCTCTGTTCCATGCTGCTAGTCCCTGAGGGTGACCCAGACGCCCTTGACATCCCGACCCCTCGCACCTACGCTGAGGCCACCTTGGGACCCTTGGCCTCTCAATGAATAGCTGCCATGGAGCAGGAGATGGCATCTTGGAGATCCACCGGTACCTTCGTCGACGCAGTTCCCCCACCTGGGGTGAATGTAGTCGATGGCCGATGGCTCTTCAAGGTGAAGCGCTCTCCTAGAGAGCCACCTGACTTCAAGGCGCGCTACGTTGCTCGAGACTTCAATCAGCGTGAGGGGGTGGACTTTTTTCAGACCTTCGCCTCGACCCCGAAGATGACTACTCTTCGGGCACTGCTATGCGTAGTAGCACAGCGTGACTACGAGCTGCACTCCCTCGACAGCTCCACAAGTTTCCTCCAGGGCAGTCTACACGAGCAGGTCTACCTGCGCCGCCCCCAGGGCTTCTCCAGTACCTTTCCCCTTGGTACCGAGTGGCTCCTCCGCCGCCCCGTCTACGGCTTGCGACAGGCGCCCCGTGAGTGGCACAACATGCTGCGTGCTGCACTTGCTGACTTGCAGTTCTTCCCTTCGTCTGCAGACCCCTCGCTCTTTGTCCATTCCGACCAGACTCCGTTCTACATCTTTGCCTATGTAGACGATCGGGTCTTTGCTACTACAGACAGAGACGCACTGGCCGCCGTGAAGGCCGAGCTACTGAGGAGATACATCTGCACTAACCTAGGAGAGCTGCACCGCTACCTTGGCTTGCAGATGTCCAGGGACAGAGCAATGCATACCATCACTCTCACACAGTCACACTTGGTGCGCCAGGTCCTTCAGAGGTTCGGCCTTCAGTTCTCTTCCGCACAGCCCACCCCTTTGTCAGTAGATCACAGACACTCTCTGCCCAAGTCCCTGAGAAGGCTGTAGAGCCTAGTGGTACCTACACAGAGTTGGTGGGTTGCCTCATGTACCTGATGACTTGCACTCGTCCAGATCTCGCATACCCTCTCAGCATCCTGGCTCGCTTTGTGGCCCCAGGCAGACACCGACCACAGCACTGGTCGGCAGCTAAGAGGGTTTTGCGTTATCTAGCAAGTACATCGGGCATGGGGCTAGTGTTAGGAGGACGGAGACCAGTGGTCCTTACCGGGCACACAGACGCTTCTTGGGCAGACGACGCCGAGACTGTCAGGTCCTCACAGGGCTACTGCTTTAGCCTTGGTTCAGGTGCCATCTCGCGGAGGTCCACTCGCTCCTCGTCTGTTGCACAGTCTTGCTGTGAGGCTGGGATCTACGCCGATGTCATGACGGCACAGGAGTTCCGCTGGCTGACATTCTTGCTCACAGACTTAGGTTAGTGGCCTAGCTCTGCCCAAGTTCTGTACGCTGACAACAGGGCCATGATCCTCCTGTGTGAGGAGCCTAGACTCGAGGGCAGAGCGAAGCATATCCTACTGCGGTACTTCCTCCTGCGTGAGCTATAGCAGCATCGCCAGGCCCGCGTAGTACACTTGGCCTCCGGTGCCAACACAGCTGATATCTTTACGAAGGCGCTTGCGCCTAAAGATCATCAGCGGCACTGTGTTCATCTAGGTCTTGTTCTTGTAGCCTCTCATTTGCTAGGACCTTGATTGTGTACAGACCTTTATATATATTACCCTGACTGGCCTTGTGGCCTCTTCCTAGTGGCTGGACTAGTAGTGCCACCCTGGTCTTGTTCTTGCCTTGTTTGTACTCGTTTGACTGGTCTTATAGGCCCTTGCCTCAGAGGCTGGACTAGTAGTGCCACCCTGAGCTGCTTGTCTCTTACCAGGCAATGCCCCTATCCAGTCTAGGGGGTGTGTCAAATATATTATTGTATGTTGTTATAGACTACACAGGGTTGTGCCTTAGAGAGTACAACCCACTAGGTTATATTCCCTTGTATGCCATGGTTCTAGTCATTCGTTAACTTTGATAACAACCGCTTAGACAAAATCACCATGTTTGCCTCATTCTAATCATTCATTCTCACGTTATTTTACAGACCCCGAATCCATGTTGTTGGCAGCGTCGCTCTGCGCTCCTGCTGGTGTTGGGAAGTGCAGCCAAGTGGCGATGGGCAGCACAGTAATGCCCTGCACAGACTGGCCTAACACTGACTGGCCTGGCAGAGAATATGTTAATTTTGCTGTAAAATGCAGAGTTTTTGGAGAAAGAAGAGCCAGCTCTATGTCTGATGTTGAGGGGTTGCCAAATGATTGGATTTTTTTATTTCTATGTTTTATGAGGAGATGTTTGGTGTCGATTTAATGACTCTGGTTTGTTGATAAGAGCCCATGGCTTCCAAGGAGAGCCCATGGCTTTCTTTTTTGAATGTATTTTAAGACTGTAACATTTACGTCTGCTGAGGAAACGCTACAGTTTCCAACCATTTCTCTTTGAAACGGGTAAACTCTAGCGAGGGATTTCCAACCATCGCCCCTCCCCACCCCACCTCCCACTGCTTCCCACTTAGCGGCCTTTATCCGTGAGGCATGCAGAATAGTAGTCTCTACCACCTCAGGGCGGGTATCCCAGGTATCACTATCCGCCAGGTAACTGGTGCCACGCTGACTAAAAGCTCGACTATTTATTTCGAAGTTTCCGCTGACGCTTTGTTTCCAGGCTAAGACCTACCCGCGTCGGCCTGTGGTCGCATGGCGTCGCGCAGGTTAAGATCGAGCGAACTGTCGCGAACGCGAGGACGAAGCAGTTACCGCAATTCGTGCGTGACTATCCGGTTCCCCGCATCGCACGTCTCAATCGCCTACTGGGCGAGTTCTAAACAAGCTTCAGGTTATCAGTCCGCTTTCCGCATTCAGTTCTAGTGGCTACATACGCTTTTGCCGCGGACTCGAACGTTCAAACTAGCTCCTCAGTTCGCTTCCCTGCGTCTGAGTGAGCCCGGACAATATTAAGACTGATACGCTTCATGACCAACCTTGAGATTGCCGGCATGGCTGCGTCGTGAGAGCAACCCCCGATCCAGCGAAGCTTTTCCGATGGTGGGTTTACTTTTGGGTAACGTGTGTGTAACATTCTGAGTGTTTCTTGAGTCGACTCGAACCTAGCTGTCAGAGCGCAATACCGTCTGTGGGCAGGAAGCCTCTGTGATTCACGACCCACGGTGTGCGCAGCCTTCTCTCACTCTTCAAGTCAGGTTACTCATAAATAACCTCTCACGGTACCTACATTTCTGACGCCATCTTCGTTCCGCCCTTGGGTTTCCCGTTTTCCCCCGTCAATGTCGGGCTCTTGGTAACGGGAGCTGGCCCTCTTTTCCCCCTCAGAATGGCGCACCATTCTGCGCGCAACGGTTCACTGGGGCTCATACACTTTTCCATCACACCCTCATCCGCACTCCCCCTCACTCCCCCCGCACCTCTCACTCCTTCCGGCGCTCACCTTCGTCCGTCGCTCACCCGGCTCTACGCCCGGCTCTTCGCACACCGATCCCGCAAGCCCTAGTCGCTGAGGCGCAGGGCCATGAGGGCGCGAGTCGCAAAGGCCGGCGCAAAGGTCTCACATCACACCTGACCCTCTTCTCCTCCCGCACCCCCACTTGGCCCGCGTCGCCCTCCCCCCCACCCTGAACGGCAGGCCGACCACGGCGCCAGTCGCCCCATGTCGGCAGGCGGCCGGCCGAAAGCCCCCCCGGAAGGAGGTGTGTCGGAGCTGATGGCGCGCTTCCAGCGCCACAAGCAGGTGGGGGGGGGAGAGCGAGTGGGTGAGGAAAGAATGAGGGGGGTATGGGCCGGGTTGCTCGGGATGTGACCTGTATTCGGAAGGAGGGGAGGGTGTCGGAGCTGATGGCACGCTTCCAGCGGCTCAAGCAGGTGGGGTGCGTGCTGGGGGAGGGTGGGGGCAGGAGAGGCAGACAGAGGGGGCAGTGGGGTGGGGTGGGTGGGGTGAGGCAGCTGGTGCGAGCTTTGCTCGGCAGGAGGGGTGTCAGAGCTGATGGCGCGCTTCCAGAGCACAAGCAGCTGGGGGGGGGGAGATGGGGAGGGGGAGGAGGACGGGGGGAAGATGAAGATGGCGAAAGGGGTGGGGTGGGGGGGGAGCTGGTGTGACGTTTACTCTGAAGGAGGGGGTGTCAGAGCTGATGGCGCGCTTCGCGGGTAGGGAGCAGCAGGGAGAAAGAGGTGGGGGGGAGGAGGGCGAGTGTGCTGGTGCTGGGGGTGCTGGTGCTGGGGGTGCTGGTGTGCCTTGTGCTATTGGCTCGGGCCGGATGGATCTCTACCCCACACGTGCTGTGACCAATCCGTCTCTGTCCCTTCCCTCCACCCTCCCCATCTCCCACATTCCCCCCACCCCCCGCATCCCGCACATTCCCCCCATTCGCTGCGTTCCTCCCTCTTCCAGGCCGCCAAGGACCCCCCAGGTTTGTCCTCGCCTCCTGCCACCATGCGCCCCTCCCCTTCCAGCCCCTCCTCCCTCCCCCTCAGCCGCTCCTCCAGCTGCGCGCTCACCTCCTCGGGGCCCCCAGGGGGGGCTGCAGGGGGGGCAGCCACCCTCCCCTCGTCCCCCTCGTCCTCCTCCTCCGCCTCCTCCACTCCCAAGAGGCGGTCCAAAGCCGCAGCAGCGCTTTCTGCTGCTGGTGCTGGTGGGGGTGGGGAGGGAGGGGCGGAGCAGCTGGCGCTGTCATCCCCATCCACTCCCCAGGTGCGTCGCACGTGCCCTGTTCGGGTGCGCGCTTCCCTGCTGCTGCCTGCCTTGTGGCGGCAGTCTAGCAGAGCGTAGGGAGTCTATTTTTGAGGCGCCAAAAAACCGTTCCGTGCTGCTTGCTGCTGCCTGTTACATGACGCACGTTGCATCATCCGCGTGCTGTGTTGTGGTGGCAGAGCGTAGGGAAGGAGGAGCGCAGCCACAAGTCAAGTGGGAAGAAAAGCAGGGAGCACAAGGAAGGGAAGGAGCATAAGGAGGGGAGGGAGCATAAGGAGGGGAGGGAAGGGAAAGAGCACAAAGAGGGGAAGGAGGGCAGAGAGGGGAAGGAGGGCAGAGAGGGGAAGGAGGGCAGAGAGGGGAAGGAGGGCAGAGAGGGGAAGGAGAGCAGAGAGGGGAAGAAATCACGGGTTAGTGCTTCAGGGAAGAAAACTCTCCGTGGTTTTCATTCTCCCATTCTCTCTGCAGGCTCGTCCTACACTTCTGTTTCTTTCCTGGTTTTCGTCCCTCATTTCAATTCCTCATTCTGCTACGAGTAACTCCCCCCCCCTTCCCCCCCCCCCACCCCCCGCTCCCCCCCACTCTCCCCCTCTTCTGTCACAACCGCCCCATAACCCTGTGTTCACGCTGGGTTCCAGGCACGTGCTGGGTCGGTCAACTTGATTCCCTCATTCCATCGCTTGCACAGATGGGAAAACATAGGATTCGATCCCATGTGCTCGCCCGTGCACCTGTGCTCCCCCGTGCACCTGTGCTCGCCCGTGCACCTGTGCTCGCCCGTGCACCTGTGCTCGCCCGTGCACCTGTGCTCGCCCGTGCACCTGTGCTCCCCTGTGCATGGCGGAAGGAGGCGCTGGAGGAGATGGGGGGGGAGGTGGAGGCAGTCTAATTCCGAGGCGCCAAAGAAATGAGTTTTGCTCATTGATCACACAATCATTGCTGTTTCTCACACGTGCATGGCAGAAGGAGGCATTGGAGGAGATGCGAGTAGAGGTGGAGGCACTTAAAGCCGACGTGACGCGGTGGCAGGGTAGGTGCGAGGAGGGGGAGAGGCGGAGGGGGGAGGAGGAGAGGGGGCGGAAGGAGGAGCAGGGGAGGAGAGAGGAGGCTGAGGCGAGGCTCCAGGCGGCCCTGGCTGGGGCAGCTGCTGCAGGGGAGGCAGGAGAGAAAGGTGCGAGCGATGCGGAGAGGCAAGAGGAGAGGAGGGAGAGGGAGGCGCTGCTAGCAGCGCGGGTGAAGGAGCTGGAGGAGCGGGTGCGGGTGGCAGAGGCGGCACTGGTGGACGCGAGTGAACGCGCGGACAGGGCAGTGAGGGATCGAGAGGAGGAGGAGCGGAGGAGAATGCAGGTGGAGCAGGAGAGGCAGGAGGCGGAGAGAGGGAGGAGTGAAGCCGAGGCTCGAGCTGTAGGTGCAGAGAGAAAGGCGGGTGCGTTGGAGGAAAAGTTGGTTGCAGCAGGAACGAGGGTGGGTGAACTAGAGCAGCAGTTATCAGCAGCAGAGAGAAAGGGAGGTGAGGAAGGGGAGAGGACGGCTGGACTAGAGAGGAAAGTGGGTGAAGCAGAGAGGAGAGCAGCGGAAGCAGAGGCAAGAGCAGTTGAGGCAGAAGCCCGGGCCAAGGAGGCCCAAGGACGGGCTGAGGAGGCGGAGAGGAGGCATGCAGAGGAGAGGGAAGCTGCCAGGAAAGCGGCCCAAGATGGTGAGAAGCGGCATGAGGAGATGGAGGCAGAGAGGCGACGCCTGGAGATGGAAGGTGCGGGCAGGGCGGCAGTGGACGCAGCAGCGGAGGGGCAGCAGGTGGTAGATGAGGGCAGTGCGGGGAGTGAGAAAGTGAGGGGGGAAGAGAGGGAGGGAGAGAGGGAGGAGGAGAGGGGCAAGTGGGAGGGGGAGAGGAGGGAGATGGAGAGGAGGTGGGAGGTGATGCAGGAGGAGGTGGGGAGGCGAGAGGGGAGGATCAGAGAGCTGGAGGACAGGGTTCAGGCGCTCATGTCAGGTTCCCAGAATCTTACAGGACTGTCGGGGTCTGAGACGGCAGGAGAAACGGCTGGTTCAACTGAGAAAGGGATTGCAGGGGAGGGTGTTGCACCTGATGTGGCACCATCTGTGCCAGCTGGCGTAGACTCTTCTGACGTGTCAGCAGAGCAGCAGCCTGTTGACGTGGCGCTGCTGCAGCACAAGCTGGAGGTGGCGGTGGGCGAGCTGAAGGGCTTGCGGGCGGCGAAACAGGCGGCAGATGCTGAGGTCAGCGAGCTGAGGCAGACTCGAGACGACACGATCAGGTATGATGACACGATCAGGCGAGATGACGTGAAGAGATGACACGATCTGGTGAGATGACACGGTGAGATGACACGATCTGGTGACATGGCACGATCAGGCCAGCAGCAGCCAGCAGCGGCATGACTTGGTGAGGTGAGATGACGTCAAGTCATCATTGACCGCTTCCAGATGAAACGGCAGCTACATCTGAGAAAGCAGGAGAAAGCAGCGAAGGCTTAGTCCTGTGCCAACCTCTCCCCCGCCCTTCCTCTGCCCCCTTGTCCCTCAGGCGAGAGGTTGGGCTTGTGACAGAGAGGGAGTAGGTAGACGAACGTTTGAGTCAACTCAAAGTCAACCAGAGGGAGAGCTCTAGGAGCTGATTGCGGAGCTGTGGAGCGAACAGGAGATAGTTTTGAGGCGCCTCAAAAGTGTAGCGAACAGGAGATAGTTTTGAGGCGCCTCAAAAGTGGAGCGAACAGGAGATAGAGGCAGGCAGAGGCGCTGAGCCTCCTTCCCCCACCCCCCCCCCCCCCCCCCCAACTTCGCCTCGTTCCTCTTTCCCCCTTGCCCCTCAGGCGAGTGGTTGAGCTGGAGGCGGAGAAGCAGGAGCTAGAGGGAGAGGTGGTGGAGGAGCTGGTTGCAGAGGTGTTGAGGGAGCAGGAGATAGCGGCAAAGGCGGGCATGTTGGCGCAGGAGGAGAGGCTTCGGGCCTCACTCTTCTTCCTTTTGCAGGGTGCTTTTGAGAATTCTCAAAACACCGTGCAAAATCAGAGGCATCGGGCCTCACTCTTCTTCCTACCTCCCACCGTTCTCCTTTGTCCTGCAGGCGAGTGGTGGAATGGGAGACGGAGAAGCAAGATCTGGAAGCCGAGTTGGAAGAACTGACAGATAGCGGTGAGAGCGGCGGAGGCCGGCATCTCCTGACAAGAACTGACAAGGGAGCTGTTGAGGGAGCAGGAGACAGCGGTGGAGGCCGGTATGGTGGCGGAGGCGTGGCTGTGTCCTCACCCCCGACCCTCCCTCCCCGTCCCCCCAGCTCCAGGCGAGTGGTGGAGCTGGAGACAGAGAAGCAAGATCTGGAAGCCAAGTTGGAAGAGCTAACCACGGAGCTGCTGAGGGAGCAGAAGATAGCACAGCAGCGGAGGCGGGCATGGTGGCGGAGCAGGAAGGCTGTAGACTTCCTTCTTTCCTTGTCCCTCACTTGACCATCACCCCACTCCCCCCCCCCCCTCCCCCCCCCCAGGCGCCTTCCCCCTGCTCAGGCGAGTGGTGGAGCTTCAAACGGAGAAGCAGGAGTTGGAAGCCGGGTTGGAAGAGCTGACAACGGAGCTGTTGAGGGAGCAGGAGATAGGCGGGCACGGTGGCGGAGCAGGAGTGGCTTTGAGACCCCCTCTTCTTCCTACCTCCCACCGTTCCCCTTTGTTCCGAAGGCGAGTGGTGGAGGTGTTGACAGAGAAGGAGATGGAAGCGGAGTTGGAGGAGTTGACAACGGAGCTGCTGAGGGAGCAGGAGATAGCAGCAGAAGCTGGTATGGTGGAGGAGCAGGAGTGGCTTTGAAACTCCCTTTTTGTTCATGTCCCCACCCCCACCGTCCTTCCCTGTCCCCTCGGCTCTAGGCGAGTGGTGGAGCTGGAGACGGAGAAGCAGGAGCTGGAAGCCGAGTTGGAAGAGCTAACCACGGAGCTGCTGAGGGAGCAGGAGATAGCAGCGGAGGCGGGCATGGTGGCGGAGCAGGAGTGGCAGCGGCGGCAGGAGGCGGTGCGCGCGCTGGTGCAGCTGGAGAGGCAGCTCTACAGCGCTGGCCCCGCCGCTGCTGGGGTGGGCGGCCCTGCTGGGGTGAGCGCCCTCGCTGCTGCTGGTTACATTGTAACTAGTGACCCGGGGAACGCGTTTGTGACTTCTCCTGGTGCACTGGAACCAGGGGTACAGGACGCAGTGTGGGGGAGCGAGGAGGAAGGGGGCAGGGAGGGGGTGAGGGCGCGGGTGGGGCTGACAGCAGCCCGCCGATCCCCCACTGCAGGGGTGGCCACAGCAGCAGGGCCAGCAGCAGGGCCTTACCTCAGGAGGGGACAGTCTGACGTGTCAGCTTTCCACCGGGGCATTCCCAGCGGGTCCTCATCCTTCAAGCACGCCGCGGCGCAGCAGGGTGTTATCGACCCCGGCGGTCTGCTCGCCCAAGAGGGCGCCACTGACTTCCTCGCCACCAAGCTCCCCGAGATAAAACGCCGCCTGGAAGCAGCCGCTGTCTCGCCCGCCCCTACCCCCTCCCCGCGGCCCTTCCGCCCCGGCCACCGCATCTCTCGCTCCGGCTCGTTCAGCGCCACGGCTGCTGCTGCCGTGGCGGCTGCCTTCGCTGGCACGGGGTCGCTGGCTGCTGCCAGGGCCAGGGCTGCCGGGGCGTCTCCTGCTGCCAGCCCTGGTGTGCTGCCCCCTGCTCCCCCTCCCCCTCCCCCTTCTGCTTCTGCTGCGGCTCCCTCTGCTGCCGCTGCCGCTGCTGCTGCTGTGACTGCTCACAGGTCAGCTCCGGCTTCCCTCTCGCCGTCTGCAGCTGCCTTTACACCCGAGGCAACTGTCTCAGGTGCTTCTAATACTCCTAGCATCTCTACCACCCCATCCACCTCTCTTGCATCCCACACTCGACCCGCGCGTCCCTCCGGCCCTCGTCTCGCGGCCTTCTCTGACCCCTCCTCCCCATGCTTCCCCTCTCCCTCACTCTCATCAACCACCACCGCAACTTCCCCTGACACACACGCCGCCACCACGGGTACCGCTACAGCAGACACCACTGGTACCAGCACAGACACCACCGGTGCTACAGCCTCTGGTGCTCCACACGGTAAGCCCACCGGCGGCAAGTCAATGCGGGCGGCGCTGCTAGAGCAGATGGGAGCCAGCGAGCTGGCAGATGAGCTGGCTGCTGCCCGGGCGGCTGCTGCTGCCGCCACTGCTCAAGCCGCGCGTGCTGCCATGGCCGGTGCTGGCAGCGCAGGGGGGGGAGGTGGTGGTGGTGGTGGTGGTGGTGGGGTGAGTGGGATGCTGAGCTGGCTGACAGGTGGGATGGCAGGGCAAGGCACTCCTGCTCCTGCTGCAGGTGGTGGTGGCGCTGCTGCTGCTGGTGCGGCGGCTGCTGCTGCTGGTGGTGGTTCAGAGACCAAGGCAATCCCGAGAATGCTGGGCGTGGCGGTGCGGAAGCCGTATGGCATAGTGCTGACAGGGGACGAGCGAGCAGCCGAGGGAGGTGAAGGGGGGAGCCCCAGAGGCGGTTTCAGCAGCCCCAAGAGTGGCAAGGCAGGGCAGAGCAGCTTGAGTCCGAAGCAAGTCAGGGATTCGCCTCAAGGCAGGCAGAGAAAGGCATACCTGCTGCTGCAGCAGCAGCAGCAGCAGCAGGTATGGCGGCACCAGGCCGCCTTCCTCCACGTGCTGCTGCAACTCGCCCAGCGCGCAGTGGAGCGCAGCGAGGATGCAGCAACAGCAGCGGAGGCGGTGCTGTCAGCCACGGCACGAGCCGAGGCGGAGATGAGGGAGTGGGAGGTAGAGCGGCATCTCTCGTCCGTGTTCGGCGAGATTCGGCTGTTTATGCGGCAGCTGGGGGTGGAGCCGGTGAGGCGGCGAGGGGGCGGAGGGAAGGGGGTGGGGGGTGAGGCAGGGGGAGGGGCGTCTGGGGGAGGTGGTATGTCGACGACGACTGGGCACACCCCGAGGGACCTGGCTCAAGTGAGGGATGATCTGACAGTTCTGGTTGGGGCGGTGGAGGCCCGCGCTCGGGCAGCTGCAGTGAAGGAGAGAGCGGTGGGGAGTGTGAAGGAGAAGCCGACCCTGGTGCTGGCTGCTGCTGCTGAGGGTGCTGGGTCTGACGGTGCTGCTGCTGCGGCTGCTGCTGCCGCTGGTTATGGTGCTGCTGGTGATGGTGCTGCTGGTGTTGCTGCTGCTGGGGGTGATGGTGCTGATGCTGATGAGCGAAGCAAGATGGAAGGGGCGGAGGGCAAGGGGGGACAGAAAGCAGTGGAGTCGGAGGCCCGATTCACAAATGACAACTCTGGCACTGAGGCTCCAACCGCAACTGAAGCCGCTGCAGCAGCAGGAGACGGAGCCGCCGGTCCGTCAGCCTCTGAGTCGTCGAGTGGACTCGCTTCAGTCACCAAGTCAACAGACACAGGCACACCAGGCACAGAGGGCGAGGAGGATACGTCTGGCTTCCTCTCTGTGCCTCTCACCCCCCTACGCTCGCCCATCATCCGACAAACCCGCAGCTCCTCCCTCGCCTCGCCCTCCCCCTTCTCCTCCCTCACCTCTCCCTCGCCCTTCTCCTCTCGCCTGCCCCCTTTCACCCGTTCCTCCTCTGTCGCCTCCTCCTCCTCCTCCTCCCAGCAGCCTCGTTTCACCCCATCTCCCTCTCTCAGCGCTACCTCCCCTGTCTTCTCCCCGGCTGCTCTCGCCTCTCTCCGCCCATCCCTTTCAGCGTCTACCTCAACTGCCCCTGCACCTGCTGCTGCTGGTGTTAGTCCTGCCAGCACGGCTGGGAAGAGCCCAGTGGGCGATGTCAGTGCGGCTGGGGGCACAGAGAGAGGTGAGGAGGAGGGGGAGGAGGGGGATGAGGTGACAGTGGTGGCTCCTCCGCTTGACCTGCCAGAATTGGTTGTAGTGGAGGAGGGAGAGGAGGAGGTTGAGGAGGGCAGAGAGGAGGAGGGAGAGGAGGAGGGAGCGGGCGAGAACAAGAGAGGGGACATGGAAAGCGGGGTTGTAGAGGGGGAAAAGGACGAACCGGCGGATGGGGCAGCAGTGGCTGGTGGGCACGACATGCAGCGCAACAACCAGGACAGTCCAGGGGCAGAGCGTGCTGGGCACGAGGAGTCGCAGCAGCAAGTAGGGCCGCTGCCAGAAGCAGCAGTGGCAGCAGCAGTTGCAGGAGTGGAGGCAGCAGCTGCTGCAGCAGCAGGTGCAGACATGGGAGCAGGAGTGGAGGCAGGAACAGATGGGGCGGATGGAGCAGGCAAGGCAGTAGCAGAGGGTGGGGAGTCGGCAGCAGGGGCAGTGACTAGAGCAGGGACAGATGGAGGTGAGAAGGAGGCAACATCTGCTGCCACCGATGGTCAAAACTCACTGCCTGAATCACTCTCTGGTACTGTGCAGCAGCAGCAGCAGCAGCAGCAGCAGGATGAGAAGCAGGAGTCGAGTATTTCAGCATCAGCCCGCACCCCATCCTTTCAGGACCTCCAACGGCAGCACCTGGAAGCCAAGCAGCAGCTGCAGCGGCAGCAGCAGGACCAGCAGCAGCAGAAGCGGCGCCGGCAGCACCAGCAGCAGCTGCAGCAGCAGCAGGTGGCGCTGCAGCACCAGGTGGTGCTGCTGCAGCGGCAGGAGCAGGCGCTGCTGCAGCAGGCGGAGGAGGTGGCGGGGGAGGCAGCACAGGAGGCGAGGAGAGTAGACGTGCAGCAGCAGGTGGTGATGGACGTGGAAGGGCAGGTCATGGCTGTCAGAGAGACCATCGCGTTTGTCACGCAAGGGATGCGGGAACGAGGAGAGGGCAGGGGAGGAGATGGGGGAGGAGGAGTGGAGGGAGGAGGAGAGGAGAAGGGAGAAGTGGAGGGAAGAGGGGAGGGAGGAGGGGAGGGAGGAGGGGAGGGAGGAGGGGAGGAGGGGCTGTTGAGACAGGCGGTGGAGATAGCGGAGCAGCGGCTGCAGGAGGTGCAGCAGCAGCTGGAGACGTGCAGGGTGCGGCTGCAGGACAAGGAGCGCCAGCAGCACTTCCTGCAGCAGCGCCTCAAGGCCAACCGCCGCCAGCTCGCAGTCGCCCGCTCCGCTGCCCATGCCGCTGCCGAGGCTGCTGCCGCTGCTGCTGCTGCTGTAACGGCTGCTGGAGCGGCTGCTGCTGAGGGTGGTGGGTCAGCCGATGCTGTGGGTGGTGGTTCGGCCAATGCTGTGGGTGGTGGTTCGGCCAATGCTGGGGGTGGTGGAGGGGCTACTGCTGAGGGTACTGCAGTGGAGGCAGGTACGAAGGAGGCGGAGGAGGGGAAGGGTAGGGCAGTGAGCGTGGCTGTGAGTCGCAGCAGCAGCGGGAGTGGCAGTGGGTGGTGGGGCATGGGCCCCTCTGCCGGCCCTGCAGCAGCTGCCGCTGATAGTGCAGGCAATGATGCCGGTGTTGCTGCTGCTGCTGCTGTTGCTGGTGCTGCTGGTGCTGCTGGTTCTGGTAAAGATGCCACTAAGGGGCTCAGTGCTTTGGCTGTGCATGAGCCAGGATCGCCTACAGCAGTATCAGGAGCAGCAGCAGAAGCAGGTGGCGGTGGCGGGGGCATGCTGGCATGGCTGCCCATGACGCCACGAGCCTTTGTGATGGCAGCTGCGAGCCTTCAGGACTCTTTTAGGCCCCGCACACCACCTGTTGCTGCTCAGTCTCCCCAACAGCAACAGCAGCAGCAACAGCAGCCTAAACAGCAGCAGCAGCAGCATCGATCCCAGGCGTTGCGGCCCCCCACGCCACCTCCAAGCACCCTTTCTGGTCGCCCTGCTGCCGGTGCTCCGGCCGCAGATGCCATCACGGCTTCGTCTGCCCCTGCCCCTGCCCCTGCCCCTGCCCCTGCCCCTGCCCCTGCCCCTGCCCCTGCCCCTGCCCCTGCCCCTGCCCCTGCCCCTGCCCCTGCCCCTGCGCCTGCGCCTGCCCCTGCGAATGCTGCTGTTCATCCATCGCCATCTTCCTCATCCACTGCCCACCTACCCGCTGCTGCTACCTCTTCCTCTCCCCCTGCTGCTGTTCCCCTTGCTGGTGCTATTCTTGCTGCTTCTGCCCCTGCTGCTGCCCCTGCTGCTGCCCCTGCTGCTGCCCCTACTGCTGCCCCTGCAGCTGCTGTTGAGTCGACTCCAGATCTGGCCGTTGCTGCGGCTGCCTCTGCTGCTGCTCCGCCTGCTGCCCCTGTACCTGCTTTTGCCCCTGCGCCTACCCGCACTGCTGCTCGCTCTTCCTCTGCCCCTGCTGCCACCGATGCTGCTGTGCTTGCTCTCCCTTCGCCCGGCGCTGCTGCCACTGCTCCCAGTGCGCCACAGGCGGCAGGCGGCAGGGAGGGCCGCAGCGGGCAAGCCCGGGTGTCTGTTTTCCATGCAAGTGGGAGGGCTAGCGGCAGGCGGCTGTGGGAGAGCAGTGACAGCTCAGCCACCCCTCTATTCGGGCTGGAGGTACCAAGCGCTGGCTCCCCTGCTACAGTTGCTGCTACAGTTGCTGCTACAGCTGCTGCGACAGTTGCTGTCACGCCTGGTGCTGCTCCTGGAGGTGATGGGAGTGGCAGCAGCACAGTTCCTGCTGCTGGCCCTCCTGTCCCCGCCGGCTCCACTGGCAGTGCAGCAGCCAGTGCTGCAGCTCTCATCGCTGCAGGCCCAACCGCTGCAGCTGCTGCTGCAACTTCCACTGCTGCAGCTTCCACTGCTGCAGGACGCATGCCAGACGGGCGGCACAGGGGCCGGCGACTACAGGACAACGGCTTTGGCATATCACTCTCCGCCCCTCCTCTGGCATCCACATTTATCGATGCTGCTGACAGGGTCGCAGCACCTACCCCGTCACTCGCTGGGCTGGGCTCCAGAAGCAGGCGGTTGGCTGATGATGGATTTGGCAGTTTGTTTTCCCCCTCTGCTGCTGTGGCTTCTCCTGCTGGCGCTGGTGATGGTACTGCAGCAGCAGCACCACCACCACCAGCAGCTAGCCCTTCGCTTGCTGGGCTGGGCTCTAGAAGCAGGCGATTGGCGGATGAAGGGTTCGGCAGTCTAGTCTCTCCAGCTGCGGGTGACGGGGCTGCAGCAGCAGGAGGGCATGCGCTGGCTGGGCCTGGGTCAAGAAGCAGGCGATTGGCCGATGATGGGCATGGGAGCAGGCGATTGGCTGATGACGGGCGCGGAGGCAGGAGACTCGGGGAAGATGGGGTTGGGAGCTCCAGTGGCAAGCGTATGTGGTGGGGAGGAGTCGAGGTGAGACAGGAAGTGGGGCAGGTGCCTGAAGGTGGCTGGATGATGGAGCAATAAGGGCTTCCCCTGCATTTCTTGGCTAAAATGGGGCCTTGTGGCTAGCTGTGCATTTCATGTTTGGCAACTTTCATAATTTGCACCGTCCTCTCTTTTTTTTGCCTTGCCAGGTAATCCCATATGATCACGAAGTTACCACTCCATCGGCAATGCATCATGGAATTTGGAAGGACGAGTCAGATTTCTTTGGCTCATGAATTTCCATAGGCTTGTAGTTGGTTGTTTGAACATATTTTTCTAGTAGTGTACTAGGTGGATGTTTTGCCTGGTCATTGTGATAGTGCTGTTTGTTGCTCTGTAATGATGCGCAATTCTGTTTGATGCTCTGTTAGTACCGAAAAATCCTAGTGATGATTCGTTATAAATTTGAATGATGCACAATTCGATTTTGCCACGCTGGAACCATCGGCGAGTCCAGAAGCGGCCAGCTCACCCCGGAAAGATTTCGCACGGGAGCTTCCAAGGTTGAAGGGCCATCAGCCCATCGTGCACTCCACGTGGACTCAGCCTTTCAACTTTGGCAGCCCTCATGTTCAATCTTGGCCGTCGAACTGAAGATTAGCTCCGCCAACACAGCGTTGCCGCGTCCATGGGCCATTTGGAGCTCACCAGCACCACTGGTGTCGTGGGACCTTGGGAATGTCACGACTCACGACACGAGGCTCCTGCCTGAATCCTGGTCGGATCAGCAGAGCTCAGCTCCCTCGGGTTTGCCTTGCTGGGTGCTCTCTCGAGTCGAGACTTTCTTCACTGATCACATCTCCATTGCCCACGCCATTGATTTCTCGTTTTCTGCTGCTTCAAGCAAGCTTACCAGCTACATTCGCTCCGTATAGCTTGGTGTTCGGCGTGTGAAATCCGTCGTCCACACTCGCGATACCTTTCCTCATCGCATTGCACCGCACGCCACCATGTCGGCTCTCAGCACCGCCGCTTCTCTAGCCGTCGATTCCCGGCTCGCGCTCTCCGATCGGACGGCGTTCAAGGGCCAGCCGGTGACCGTCTCGGTCGCCGCTCCCGCCAGGAGGGCCGTCGCGACGAGCGTGTCGTGCCGCGCCGATGGCGACAATAAGAACGCGAAGCCCTCGTTCGGGGCTCAGATCGCTAAAGCCGTCGTTCCGGCTCTCTCCTCCGCGATCATCGGTAAGCTAGACGCTGCCACTCGCGAATCTACCTATTCAGGGAACCTATACGCTATACAGTGTGACGCGTCTAGATTAGTCCGCTGTGAGCCTCGCAAATTTCGTCAGATTCTCATCATTTTCTTCATCTCTCTCCTCTCCTGGCCTCGTGGCAGCGGCGACGGTGATGGGCATGGCGCCTGCAGCAGACGCCATGCAGAGCTACCTCTTCACTGGGGGCGTCGCCGCCGCTCAAGCAGAGGTAGGTCGCCCACCACACAGCTTCACACATGGCTCTCATGGCTCTCATGGCTACCGCTCCCGCATTGCCCCTTCAATACACTCTCCATGGCTCGCTGTCGTTCTCCCTCCTCGCCTTTTCGTTTGTGTCCCCTCCTAGCCCCCTCCATTTCTCTCACAATCCTATCTCATCCTCTTTACGCCCCCTCTCCAATCACCGTGACCCATCATCAACTTTCGTCCTATTGAAAGTAACTCATAGAAATTTCTGCTCTTCCCGCCCCACCCCCGTGCTTGTACAGGAGGTTGCTGTGGCGGATGAGCCCGCTGTAGTCGGGGTAAGCACTCGCAACCCTGAATGAAAACCGCGCAATCCGCTTCGTCTTCCGCCTTCGAGTCACAATGTCGATCTCGTTTACTTCCTAAAGCCAAGCTCTGGCTCCTGTTGTCATTAGAAATCAGTCGAACGAAGGAAATGAAATCCTAACCCAGCCACATCGGAATGTGCCACGTGTATCGTACCTTCTGCCTTCGTCTAACGACTCCGTATTTTCCCCTCATCGTGTTGCGCGGTTCTCCCCTCACCAGCCCGAGGAGCGCGCCAGGCGCCTGGGCGAGCTGCTGCGCAAGAAGCGCGAGGAGCAGGAGGCCATCGCGGCTGCTGCGCGCGCGGAGGCGGAGAAGAAGGCGGCGGAGGAGGAGGCCGCGCGGAGATTCGCGGAGGAGAAGATCCAGTCGCAGAGGCTGTTCGTTAAGGTGGGTGGCGCAGTGGTTGTTCGTGAAGGTGGGTGGGGTGTGGGTGAGACGAAGTGCTACCGGGCTCGAACCGTCAAGGTGGGAGGCGCAGCGGCTGTTCGTCAAGGTGGGTGGGGTTTGGGTCAGGCCAAGCGGTGGCGGGTTAACAGAGTCTGGACATCAGTGGACATTGGCATGTGATCCGTTTGCCGATATCACGACGCTGCCTCCGCACTCGTGGTGCTACCTTGTTACAAGATTTGCCCTCCCATGCGGCGTTCACTCTCTGCATGCTGGAAACGGCGGTATTAAATCTTGGAACGCCACATCCTGTGCCAGACATTCGATCACCGGGGCCATAAGTACACTGCTTTTCGTGCTGTCGCCTCCAACGAGGGGAAAAACGCGTTTATCTCGACAAAGAAAACGACAGTACGGTGAACCGCCCCCGGGAAAGTTAGTCTCTCTAGCCGCTATAGGCGCACCTCTCCTCTTACTCCGTTGGCGCACACCTCGCAATCAACTCTCTCCTCCCACCTCACTGTCCGCCCGCCCCTTTCCCGCCCGCAGCCCGAGCTGAAGCCGTCTGAGGCCCCGGCAGTGAAGGAGGCGAAGCAGCAGCAGCAGAAGCAGGCGGCGAAGAAGAGCAAGCGCGGCGGCATGCCGCTGTTCCTCTCGCAGTTCGGCGTGCTCGCCGCGTTCAGCGGCGGCATCGCTGCACTCTTCGTGCTGCCGGAGGAGAAGTGGAAGGAGATCGAGGAGGTGAGACGCCTAAGGGTTCAGTGTCCTCACTATACGAATGACTATGGTCCGTGTTGCTGTGTTGCTCCGTTGCTTGCTGTCCTGGACGCGTTGGGCGGCGGCATCGCTGGCCTCTTCGTGCTGCCGGACGAACGAGAAGTGGAGATCGAGGAGGTGTGAGAGGTCAATCCCGTGGCAAGACTGTCTTGAGGGCGTTTGGGGTGGCATGGCTGCACTCTCCGTGCTCCCTGAGTACAAGTGGAAGGAGATCGAGGAGGTGTGAGGGAGGGCCTACCTACTCACGGTCGTGCAAGCTCCAGCCCAGATTCTCCTCGCGTACAGTCCTGCCTGCCCCTACTCCGGACTCACTTACATCCTACTCCTCTTCCCTACATTATTTTCTTCCCGATCCCCCCATCTCACAATCACACCTCCCGACCCCGCCCCCATCCCCCGCCAAACCCCCACACACCACTCCGCTAGCCCCATTCCCTGCCCTCCCCCACCAACACCCACCCCCACTCCGCTAGCCCCATTCGGCTCCCCGAGTGCAGAAGCTGGAGGAAGGTGGAGCGCTGCCCATGATCTCTCTCCCGTTTCCTTTCTCCTGAACCATTTCTTCTCCTCCGCCTCCCCAACCTGCCCCCCATTTCAAGTGAAAGCTGGAGGAGGTGAAGGACTACGTGTTGCCCATGATGGCTCAACTGCTCCCCTGATCTCATAGTCACACCTCCGTTTCCTTTCCCCCCATCCCGCTCGCCTGATGTTCTCACTCTGTCCCACTCGCCCTCTCCCCGTTCGTCCCGAGAGCAGAAGCTGGAGGAGGTGAAGGGCTACGTGCTGCCCATTGTGGATGACGTCGTTGTTCCCTTCGCTGAATCGGTACGTACTGTAGCACGATAAGGCACAGAGCAGCGAGGGCGAGGCACGAACGTACTGCACCCCAAGGCACGGACCAGCGTCATGCATATTATGCCCCTCGTACCCACCACTGCATCCCAAGGCATAAACATGGATGCTCATCTTGCACCATGCACCATGCACCATGCACCATGCACCATTCACCATGCCCACAATCATCCATGGGAGAATCACGATGGCGTTTTCCAGAACAGACTTGGCCCTACCACTAATATTCCAGAGCCAGCCTTCCAGGGCCACTCATGCGATCAAGCCATATTTTAACAGTCACCCCAAGCACCCCTTGCATGCTTCCCCATGCATGTCCTCCTCTCATCCCATCTGTCCATGCAGACATGGGAGGCCACCCAGGAGTTTGCCGAAACCGCCAAGCCATATGCCGAGGCTGCTCTCGAGGCCGCCAAGCCTGTCGCCGAGGCTGCACTTGAAGCCGCCAAGCCTGTGGCCGAGAAAGCCTTGGAAGCTGCCAAGCCTGTGGCGGACCAAGCTCTGGAGAGGGTCAAGGAGCTGGCCGAGCCTGTAGTGTCACAAGTGGAGGAGCAGGTGACGAAAGCGAGGGAGGCTGCTGCACCGGTGATGTCTCAAGTGGGCGAGTCTGTGGATAAGGTTCGGGAGGTGGCCGGGCCGGTGGTGAGCCAAGTGCAGGAGAAGACTGCTGAGTTCATTAAGAATGCTGAGAAGCCCAAGGCCTGAAGTGTGGCCGATGGGACAATACAGCTTCTAGATTTTGGTTACAAGTTTTTGTTTTTTTTACTGTACTCGAGATTGGCTCTGGTGGTGAGGTGAATCTGCATGTAACCAGACTCTGTTATTTAGGCTAGGCGTGTCGAGTTGCAATGACATATTCGCACTGTGCGCACTGTGGCATGTTTTCCAACAACAGTTGCTCCACTGCTGCATCTCCTAGCCCAGGAAAAGTATACCGGCGCTCAGTATTAGAGGCCTCGATAACATGTACGTTCAGTGACACAATATAAACAATCAGAATTAGCGAGTTTGTAACATGTTTAATCAGTCAGAAACTGCAGGAAAAAAGTTCCACGAATGGTCAGTAGAAGTAACCCCCGGTCGTCTATGAACGTTTTCCCGCTCACGCCAGCCCAATTTCGTCATCATTGCGGATGGTGAGATATTTTTCCCGAGCTCCAGGCGCAGTTAGAGCAAAAAAAAACGCAAAATGCCCAAATTAAAATTCATTTGAAATTTGTCAGTCGAGAAACCCAAAAAAAAAAAAAAACAAAAAAAAAAAAAAAAAACAACAACAACAACAACAATTTTGTTCGAAGCACATACTTTCGTGACAGGTTAGCGCATCCCGCGATGATTAAAAATGGCGGCTTTGTCCCTACCGCATTTACAGCCCCAAAGAAAAGTCAAGCCATTAACTTGTCATCATTCCCGTGTGACGCATGCTTTCCTGCACGCGTGCTTTACTGCTTAGAGTCCTATACTCACTCACTCTATTTGTGTCATAGGTTGTGTTGGGGGTGTCAAACATTAGTATATCTAGAGTTTGTATAGACTGTATAGGATCACCTCTTAGAGAGTACAACCCTTAGATATGTATGCTTGTACCCACGTTCTCTAGTCATTCAATTACTCAGTTCTAAGATGGTATCAGCAGTAGGTAGGTCCCGCCGCCCGCCCATGCTTCCACCCTAGGCCCTAGCCGCCCCCGCGCACGTCCTAGCTGCGCCCGCCGCGCCCGTCCTAGCTGGCCCCCGCGCCCGTCCTCACGGCCCTCGCGCCCGTCCTAGCTGGCCCCACGCCCGTCCTTACGGCCCCTGCGCCCGTCCTCACGGCCCCCGCGCCCGTCCTAGCTGGCCCCGCGCCCTGTTAGAAACAGAGCTAGCAAGAAAAGAGGAGGCCGCCATGGAATGGCGGCCAAGGGTTTAGCTAGGAAGTAGACGAGAGTGTCGAGAGAGAAAGTGTTGGATTAGGAAGAGAGGGGAGTACAAGGAGGGGTTTGTACCCCCTACAGAAAGGTTCAGTAACAACCTACCAAGCATATATTAAATTATAACTTATATAATTTGAACACACCCCCTAGGCTTGGTAGTGTCAAGCCCTAACAACCCACACACACACCCCCTAACCCCGGACACCCTCATTCTCGTGAGCAGCCGGGTATCGACCCCTCGTGCTAGGCTATGACACCCCCGGTCGAGAGGCAGCTGGCCGCATCTGGGCGGCCTCAATGACGACAGCGGCGGAGCTCGTGCTCAAGGCGGCTGTGTCGATGAGGACAGGCGGCGACTGCGGCGGCTGAGGGCTCTCGGCGGTGTGGCACGGGCTGGCGACGACCGAGCCGAAGACAGCAGCTACGGCAGGAGCAGGAGGAGATGCAGGGGAGGGAGAGGTGGTGGGGCTGCTGTGGTGGGGCTGCAGGACTTCAGCGTGGCGCCATAGGCGCGGCGCTTACTGGCGGGAGGAGGAGGCAGGACGGGGCCCAGGAGGGGTGCGAATGGGCTAGGAGGCACAGGCAGGGCCCAGGAGGGGCGCGACTGGGCTAGGAACGGCGGAGCCGCCACGTAAGGGCGGCAAGCCCAGCACGGCTGCTCGACGTGGCAGCCATGCGACATGGCCGCCACGGGGGCACGGCAGGAGCGACGAACGCACGAGAACGCAGCGGAAAGCACGGGGGGGAGCAGGCCCAGGAAGGGCATCCCGCTCTCGATACCATGTTAGAAACAGAGCTAGCAAGAAAAGAGGAGGCCGCCATGGAGGCACGGCAGGAGCGACGAACGCACGAGAACGCAGCGGAAAGCACGGGGGGGAGCAGGCCCAGGAAGGGCATCCCGCTCTGATACCATGTTAGAAACAGAGCTAGCAAGAAAAGAGGAGGCCGCCATGGAATGGCGGCCAAGGGTTTAGCTAGGAAGTAGAGGAGAGTGTCGAGAGAGAAAGTGTTGGATTAGGAAGAGAGGGGAGTACAAGGAGGGGTTTGTACCCCCTACAGAAAGGTTCAGTAACAACCTACCAAGCATATATTAAATTATAACTTATATAATTTGAACACGCCCGTCCTAGCGGCCCCCGCGCCCGTCCTAAAGGCCCCCGCGCCCATCCTAACTGGCCCCGCGCCCGCCCTAGCTGGCCCCGCGCCCATCCTAGCCGGCCTCGCGCCCGTCCTAACAGCTCCCGCGCCCATCCTCGTCGGCCCCGCGCCCGTCCTAGTGGCCCCCGCGCCCGTCCTACCGGCCCCCGCACCCGTCCTAGTGGCCCCCGCGCCCGTCCTAGTGGCCCCCGCGCCCGTTCTAGCGGCCCCTGCGCCCGTTCTCGCGGCCCCTGCGCCTGTCCTAGCCGGCCCCCGCGCTCGCCCTAGCTGGCCCCCGCGCCCGTCCTACAGGCCCCCCCGCGCCCGTCCTAGCCGGCCCCGCGCCCGTCCTACAGGCCCCCGCGCTCGTCCTAGCTGGCCCCCGCGCCCGTCCTACAGGCCCCCGCGCCCGTCCTAGCCGGCCCCACGCCCGTCCCAGGCCCCTCCTAGCCGGCCCCGCGCCCGTCCTACTTGGCCCCTGCGCCCGTCCTCGCCGGCCTGGCGCCCGCCGCTACTGGCCCCCGCGCCCGTTCTGCCGAACCCTGCGCGCGCCCTGCCCGTCGATCTCCGGCCCCGTGCTCACCTTCCCGCCGGACTACCGCCGATCTGCGTGCGGCCCGCTCTTCGTGCTTGCTACTACACTTCACCCTCCCTGGTACGGTTCTCCATCACCTTGCACCGCACTGCACCCCCCTGCACCGCGCTGCACGGCACTGTACCGCACTGTACTGCACTGTACCGTGCTGCACCACACTGTACCGCCCAGCACTGTACTGTACCGCCCTGCACTGCACTGTACTGCCCTGTGCTGTTCCTGATGGCAACGGAGCTTCGCTTCGATGCTGAAGGCCAGCCTCTGGAGTTCGAGGCTTGGCTAGCTGACCTCCGCCGCAACCTCACTGGTCAGCGGCAGGATGGTCACCCGCTCTCGGCACATCTTGACGGTACAGACGAGGCAGGCGAGTGCCCTCCCGCCCGGGTGGCCTGGCGCTGGTGGTGGTCGTGCGCGTGGTGGTGTGCCGGGTGGCGGTTCGGGAGGCGTGCGCTGTCAGTACCAGATCCAGACCGGTCCTCGCCACGGCTTCGTTTGCGGTAAGATTGGTCACACCACTGCTCGCTGTTTTCCTCGCCTGGACGACCTGTTTCGTCAGCGTTTCGGCCCGTCGCCCGACCTCCCGGACTGGCACAGTTTGCTTAGTCGTAGAGTTCATATTTTTGATATGGACATTGATGCCATTGTTTCTGCCCTGCATGTGATGTATGCTGATGACTCTAGTGTGCTCCCTTCTTATTACTCCTTGTCGCCTAGTGTAGGTATGCATAGCTTAGCCTCCCCTGCTGCGTCAGGCGTAGAAGCTTCTGCTTTGTTTAGCCTTGGTGCTTCCGCCGTCGCCCCGTCGCCAGACGCCACTGCTTTGCTTTCCTTCACCTTGGACTCTGGCGCTTCCCGGTGTTTCTTCCGCGACTCTACTACACTGACGCCGCTTTCTGTTCCTGCTGCAGTTTCTCTTGCTGACCCCTCCGGCGGTCCCGTAGTCGCTCGCAGTTCCACCACCATTCCCTGTCCGGCGGTTCCTTCGGGCTCTCTCACAGGTCTGCATATCCCCTCGTTCTCCAAGAACCTAGTTGGTGTCGGCTGCCTCCAGGACCTTGGCGTCACCACTACGTTCCCTGGTCACGAGCGGTGTGCTGTCTGTACCGAGGCCGTCACTGGTGCCCCCCTGTCCACGTTCCCCCGGGACCCGGTGTCTCGCCTGTTCACCCTGGACACCGTGCCCCCCCCGGCTGGGGCGCCCCTTCAGGTGGCTGCGTCTACCCATGTTGCTACTGCCTGCTCCTGTCGGTCCCTCACTCACCCGACTCTCCTTTGGCACCACCGCCTAGGTCACCCTGCGTTCCCGCGTCTGTGCCACATGTCCCAGCACGGTCTCGTCCTTGGTCTCCCTAGTTCCTTCCCCGCTTTTCCCTCCTCCCCTGCCCCACCTTGCACGCCTTGTGTCGAGGGTCGGCTTCGCCGTGCCCCTCACTCCTCCTCGTTTCCCCCTACTGCCACGCAACTGCAGACCCTGCACATGGACGTCTGGGGCCCCGCCCCAGTCCATGGGCCGCGTCGAGAGCGCTACTTCCTCGTGCTTGTCGACGACTTCACTCGCTACACCACAGTCTTTCCCATGGAGCGCAAGGCCGACGTGCCTGACGCTCTCATCCCCTGGCTTGTCTCTGCGCGTGTCCTCCGAGGTCTCCCTGTCTTGCGTCTTCACTCCGACCGTGGTGGCGAGTTTGCCTCAGGTGTCCTTGGTCGCTTCTGTCGTGCGGAGGGCATCACTCAGACGTTCACCCTGCCGGACTCCCTGCAGCAGAATGGGGTCACTGAGCGACGCATCGGTTTGGTCATGGAGGTGGCTCGCACCTCCATGATCCATGCCGGTGCACCCCATTTTCTGTGGCCGTTCGCCGTGCGCTACGCTGCTCACCAGCTTAACCTGTCGCCGCACCCCCAGCAGCCGCAGGTTTCGCCGACCCTTCTTTGGACCGGGTCTCCTGGTGACGCGTCTGCGTTCCACGTCTAGGGCTGCCTTGCTCACGTTCGTGCCTCTGGCACGGACAAGCTCACTGCCCGCACCCTTCCCTGCGTCTTCCTAGGTTTCCCCCTTGACGCGTCCAACTGGCACTTCTACCACCCGCCGTCTCACCGGTTCTTTCACTCTCGCGACGTCACATTTGACGAGTCCGTCTCCTTCTACCGTCGCTTCCCCCACCGCGGTCCCCCGGTTTCTCCCCCACTGTTCCTGGTCACTCCTTCCTCGGTGGTCCCTGCCCCCCCCCCTCCCCCTCCCCGTCCTGCCCCCTCTGGTGTGTCCCACGTCACCCCTCTCCCGTCAGTTGTCCCGGTCGAGGAGTCCTCTGACTCTAGTCGGCCTGCGGCGCAGTCATCGCCGTCTGCCCCTCCCCCGATGTCTCCCCCCCCACAGCCTCTGCAGCCGCCGTCGCCCCTGCTGTCGCACCCGTCGTCTCCGCCGCCGCCGCCATCGCAGCAGCAGTTTGTCGACTCTGGGGGTGCCCCCGTTAGGGTGGGTGCTCGTTCTGGGGTTCCTGTTGTGGCCTGCCCCGGTGGCCCTGGGGGTGGTACTAGTGCTCGGGGGGTTTCGGGCTCTTGGGGTGTTCCTTCTGGGGGTGCCGGAGTGGAGTGTCCCGGAGGTAGCCGAGGAGCAGCTTTCGGTCCCGGTGTTGGTGTTGTGCCGCTGCAGCAGCAATCCCCGCCGGTGTCAGCCCTTCGCCTGCTCGGGCTTCCGTCCCCTGACCCTACGTCCGTTCCTCTCCTACCGTCTCCTCCTCTTCCTGTCTACGGCCCGGTGTTCCCTCCGCCGGACTCGTCCCCGGCTCGTCTTCCCCCTCGCTCCCCCCTTGTGTCCCCTTCTCTGTCTCCTGACCCGACGCCTCCGTCTCACGTCTGGTCCCGCCGTCCCTCCCGCGCTCGTCCTGTCTCCCCTGTCGCGCGCTCTCACCCTATGTTGCTCCGTTCTCACGCGTCTCGTCCTCCCCTTCTCCCATCGCCTCCTCCGCCCTCTCTTACCATTGCGCCTCCTCCTCTGTCTGACTACCTTCGTGACGCTCGTCCTCTTATTCCTCGGGGTGAACGTAGACGACGCATTTCCCCCGCCTGGGGTGAACGTAGTCGATGGCCGCTGGCTCTTCAAGGTGAAGCGCCCTCCTGGAGAGCCGCCTCTGTTCAAGGCGCGCTACGTGGCTAGAGGCTTCAGTCAGCGTGAGGGGGTGGACTTCTTCCAGACCTTCGCTCCGACCTCGAAGATGACTAGTCTTCGGGTTCTGTTACACCTAGCTGCTCAGCGTGATTACGAGCTTCACTCCCTCGACTTCTCCACTGCCTTCCTTCCGGGCAGCCTACACGAGTATGTCTACCTGCGTCACCCTCAGGGCTTTACTGGCACCTTCCCTCCTGGGACCGAGTGGCTCCGGCGACGTCCCATCTACAGCCTGCGGCAGGCTCCCCGTGAGTGGCACGACACGCTGCGTGCTACCCTTGCTGACATGCAGTTCTTTCCATCTTCCGCAGACCCCTCACTCTTCGTTCGTGTTGGCTAGACTCCGTTCTACATCCTTGTGTACGTGGACGATCTGGTCTTTGCCACAGCAGATAGGGACGCACTGGCCTCCGTGAAGGCAGAGCTGCTGAAGAGACACACTTGCACTGACCTTGGAGAACTGCGCCGCTACCTTGTCTTGCAGATCTCCAGGGACAGAGCAGCGCGCACCATCACCTTGACTCAGTCACACTTGGTGCGCCAGGTCCTTCAGAGGTTCGGCCTTCAGTTCTCTTCTGCACAGCCCACTCCTCTGCCTGTAGACCACAGACTCTCAGCTCCAGTCTCTGAGGAGTCAGTAGAGCCCAGTGGCCCTTACGCAGAGCTGGTGGGTTGCCTCATATACCTGATGACTTGCACTCGCCCAGATCTCGCATACCCTCTCAGCATCCTGGCTTGCTTTGTGGCCACAGATAGACACCGACCGCAGCACTGGTCTGCCGCTAAGAGGGTTCTGCGTTATCTTGCAAGTACATCGGGCATGGGGTTCGTGCTAGGAGGAAGCAGGTCAGTGGTCCTTACTGGACACACAGACGCTTCTTGGGCAGACGACGCCGAGACACTCAGGTCTACCCAGGGCTACTGCTTCAGCCTTGGTTCAGGTGCCGTCTCGTGGAGAGCTACCCGCTCCTCGTCTGTTGCGCAGTCCAGCTGTAAGGCCGAGATCTACGCCGGTGCCATGGTGGCACAGGAGCTCCGCTGGCCGACCTTCTTGCTCACTGACTTAGGTGAGCGGCCTAGCTCTGCCCCGGTCCTGTATGCTGACAACAGGGCCATGATCCTCCTGTGTCACGAGCCTCGACTCGAGGGCAGAGCGAAGCATATCCAGATGCGGTACTTCCTCCTGCGCGAGCTACAGCAGCGCCGCCAGGCTCGCGTAGTACACTTGGCCTCCGGTGCCAACACAGCTGATATCTTTACGAAGGCGCTTGCGCCTAAAGATCATCAGCGGCACTGTATACAGCTTGGTCTAGTCCCTGTAATTCTCTCACTTGCTAGGGCCTTGACTTTGTACTGTCCTCTATATATATATTTACTCAGACTGGACTTGTGTCCTCTCCCAGTGGTTGGACTAGTTGTGCCGCCCTGGTCTTGTTCTTGTCTTGTCTGTACTCCTGTTGACTGGTCTTTAGACCCTTGTCTCAGTGGCTGAACTAGTAGTGCCGCCCTGAGCTTTTGTTCAGGAACTGCCCCTATGCAGTCTAGGGGGTGTGTCAAACATTAGTATATCTAGAGTTTGTATAGACTGTATAGGGTCACCTCTTAGAGAGTACAACCCTTAGATATGTATGCTTGTACCCACATTCTCTAGTCATTCAATTACTCAGTTCTAAGAGGGGGGAGTTGTTTTTGGGGCTGGAGGGTCCAGTCACTCGATGTCCCTGTTTCCCTATCCCCAGGTTTCTGTTACCTCGCTCCTGTGCGTGCTTGGTTGTGTTTGCTCCTCATTTCATTTTGAATACGAACTCACTCATCATACTCTGCCTACTTGCGTATTTGCGAACGGCTCAGGCGTGGTGGGGTCCGGGCATCGCCAGCCTGCGACGTCGCCAGCGTTGGCGAGGTCGTTCCTGCCATTGCGAGAACCCTTGCCTTTGCGAGGGACGTGCTTGGGTTTTTTGCGAGGGTGCACCCTCGCTATTTTCGCCACCCCTCTTCAAGGTTCAAAACCCTTAGAGCCTTGAAGTTATTGTATACTTTCTCTTTATGAGGTTTAGCTGGACTGAAGTTGATCAACAAGGCTCTTCACCGCGACCCTTGACACCCCTCTAAACATAGGTCTGGAGGTTATCAAGTCTCGAATCTCGATCAGCCTCGGTGTTTGTGTCAGCGTAATCGGACGGCCAACCGGACACTTCAGGGACAAGCTCCCATGATAACCCTCAAACTTTCGCGATTCGCTTTTCCCGCCACTTCCTTGTACATCCTCTGCCTGCCTGACATGCACCCTGCGCACCCGAACAATTCCCAGTGCCGTTGCTGGCATCTCCTCTCGTCATGTCACACTTCAACCCTCCGTCATGTCCCTTGGTTTTTTTCGTTCCTGTACGGTACCATGTTGAGAAACCTCGGTTTCTATCCTCAGTTCCCAAACCCATCCCATCATGGGCCAAGCTTCGAACCTCGATTCCATCCGTGGTTTCAAGACCACACCACCATCCATGGTTTCCTCTCCCAGCCTTGGTTTTATCCCAAGTCTGTGCCTGTCTTGTCCTGTCATTCCCGAAGCACACCTAGTGACTTAGCCTGGCCGTTTTCCTGTCTTCGAGAAATTCGGGTCTCGAATCCGACGGCGACGAACCCGTCCTGTCTCATCGTTCAGGTTGACCGGTTTCGCCGGCTTTCCCATCTACTTGTCTGCTTAGTAGTCTGGAAGGTGGTCTGTCAACTACAGAGACGTTTGGCTTAGCAGGATTGTGATCTGTGCCTGTAGGCCGGCATGGTTTCCGTTAAGATCGAGTATGCGATTAGATTAATTCTTCATAGGCGTGACTCTTAGTCGCAATCCTTAAAATTGTAGGGATAATCTAGCTCGCCAGTTTCCTTCGTGCTTGAGATTTCGGGAGGATTTTGTACGCTTCCGACTCCAAACGGTCTTGAGACAGAACTATGGCGTTGCAACCTTTTTTAAGGATTTATCGCGTGACGTTTTCGGATTCTTAGCAGGCGGTGCTTTCATGGTTCCAGATTCACCTCCTAGTAACCCATTTGCCGCGTCCGATAAGTACTTTGCGATCGATCTTCCGTCCAGGAGCTGACAATACAGTGTTTACCTCCGATTTCCGTCAAGGATCAGACTAGATAGTGTTTACCGTTGCTCTTCCCTCAAGAATCAGACAGTCAGACCAGCTAAGGTCTTGCTACTTCGCATACTTCAAGAAGCCCGTTCGAGTTCGTCCTGCTCGCAGTGGTTTCCAGAATGGTCGGATCGACGTATTCGTCCGAGTCAGGGACCAGACCCGCCAGCCCCCTCAACTTACGGTCTCAGCTGGATGCCGCCTACCATGGGGGAGGAATGACCATCGTAGAGAAGTAAGTGCAAGAACAATTATCGGAGACAAGGGAGCTTAGCATGCCATGTGTCCTATACTCGCTAATCCACAGTCTCGTTTCGTTTGTAGCTCCTAGAAGTTGAAGCTTCGTGGTCCTTTAGTTCCCCAGAACGTCGGTTCTGAAATCCGCGCTTTATTCCCCCAACTGATCGGCCAGGCATGTGATGCGGGAGCTTCCGAACGCGCAGAACAGCCAGCTGGAGGCTGCTTCGAGCCAGCTTGACTCTCCCGAGTGCTCCTCCATTTCAGCTCAAGCGCTCACCAGGTGACGGACACATTTCTCCCTCATCATCCCTCAGTCAATTACGACTCTGATTTGTTCGTTCTCCGATAATTCGTCCGTCAGTCCTCCTGTTACGTCCTTATTTGCCGTCTCCATTTTGATTGCCGGCGGTTCACATCATCTCTCCTCGTCCCGGCGTTTCCCCTCGCCTCGTTTCGATCGGTTTCTTGCGGATGCGAATAAGTTCTTCCCTCGTCGCATTTGTCTCGTCAGGCCGGCCGCCGGCAGCGGTCTGACGAGCTTCCCCATCAGCAACCTTCCCCACGTGGAGCACTACTTCAAGGCGATGCTCATTCCTCTACTCGCGTCGTCCCCGGCAGTTTCCCCTCACCAACTCCGTTGTCCTTCCTCTTGCGTCTGTTCGTCTTTTCCCTTTGTTCATCTGCTCCTCTCGTCAGGCCGCCCGCCGGCAGCAGTCTGACGAGCTTCCCCATCGCCGACTTATACCACGTGGAGCACTATCTCAAGGCCGTGCAGCGGCAGTCCGTCGCAGCCCGTCGCAGCCTGCTGGGTCGGCGACAGCATGCGACTCCTGGCGCGCACGACGGCTCCGACCGCGCGATTTTCGAAGACATGCTGAGCTTCCAGAAGGTAGGTATTGGTGTAGGAAGGTGGGCGATTTCACAGGACTTGTATTGATCGAGCTGCTGCTGCTGCTGCTGCTGCTGCTGCCATAGGACCGAGCTTGCATGTTTTGATTGTGATTCTGCTCCGTACGCCCGCACCGAAATCGTCTCTGAAATTACTCTGTGCGTCCCACTGGTGCTCCCCCCGCAGGACCCCATCCCGACCTCGCTCACGCGCCTCACGACTGACCTGCAGACCAAAGCAGTGCGCATGTTCCAAGACATACTCCATTACATGGGGCTCAACGGCGCGCCGATCACCGACGAGCGCGAGCTGGCGCAGACGCTGGTTCGAATCCTCAAGATGGTGCTTCGGAAGCCGGAGATGCGGGAGGAGCTGTACGCGCAGCTGCACAAGCAGACAAGGAATAATCATGACAGGGAGGCGTGTCTTAGAGCGTGGGAGGTTATGCACATTTGCGCGTCGGTCGCGCCGCCGGGGTCGTATCTCGGGACGCCTATTACCGAGTACGTGCACGAGATCGCGAACGACGCGGGGGTGGACGAGGAGGTGAAGTCGCAGGCGCTTGCCACGTGGCACGCGCTGAAGAAGGCGATGAAGATCGGCGCGCGGAAGACGGTTCCGACCGTCGATGAGCTGCTGGCGCTGATGACGGGCAGAGCGCTCAAGACGATGGTGTTCTTCCTGGACGACACGTTCGAGGAGGTCGGGTACGACGCGTCCACGACAGCAGCGGAGATTTTAGAGGTGAGTGTGACTGTAGGTGCGTGTGACAGTAGGTGCGTGTGACTGTAGGCAATCAGGTGCTGGCGCTGATGACGGGCAGAGCGCTCAAGACGATGGTGTTCTTCCTGGACGATACGTTCGAGGAGGTCGGGTACAACGCGTCCACGACAGCAGCGGAGATTCTAGAGGTGGGTGTGGCCGTCGCGCGTGTGTCTGCACTGCGCTCGATTTTGCCAAAAGGTTCTCGTCGGCCAGACATGGCCCTGCCGCGTCCTCGTCACTTTTTGTGCTAGGTGTCCCAATCATTTGTGTGCTACTGGTGTCCTTCGTTGCTGTGTGCTGCAGAGCGTGGCGAGCAGCATTCGTCTGGAGGAGTTTCAGACGTTTGGGCTGTACGAGCACCGCAAGTACATCACACAGGCCAACAGCAACACGGAGAACATCTCGAGTGAGTTGGACGTCTTGTACTTTGAGTGAGTGACCTGGGGCAGTGAGAACGTGTGATTCCGGGCTGTGGGTGTGTGGTGCTGGAAGTGGGTTGTACGAGCACCGGAAGTACATCACACAAGCTAGCAACAGCACGGAGAACATCTCGAGTACGTGATTCTGCGCCTCGAGTACATGAGATTCTTTGCTGTATGCCATGTCTTCTACGTTGTTGCTTGCTTCGTTGTGCGAAGCGTGCAACATAGCACCCTGGTCTGCCGTCTTTCGCATAATTGATTGCTGTTGTGTCCTCTCTGAAGGAGATGGTCATGTGCTGGCACCTTTCACTATGACAATCCGTTCCTTTCGCTGAGCAGACGACTACATGGGCATTGACGAGAAGGCTTATATGGGGGACGTGATGGCCGAGCTGATGAGTTTCAGGGAGAAGAGCGAGCGGCAGGTGCAGCTGCGCCTGCTCTTCCGCAAGAAGTTTTTCCGGGAGAACGAGGAGGCGATCACGGACCCAGTGTTCATCCAGCTGTCGTACCTGCAAGCGAAGCAGGACTACGAGGAGGGCAACTACCCCGTGCCCAGGGATGACGTGGCGCAGCTGGCGGCGCTTCAGCTGATCGTTGACTTTGGCTTGCTGCCCGAGCCTGAAGTGGCGCTGTGAGTTAATACCTGGGGAGGGTTGAGCTAGATTCTCACTAGTGAGTGCGCGCGCAAGCGAAGCAGGACTACGAGTAGGGCAACTACCCCGTGCCCAGGGACGATGCGGCTCAGCTGGCGGCGCTTTAGCTGATTGTTGCCTTTGGCCTGCTGCCCGAGCCCGAAGTGGCGCTATATGGGAATTTCTGGGGAGGCTGCGGAGGGGAAAGGAGTAAGGGATCTCTGCAGCGTGTCAGCTCGATTAGAACTGATAGATGTTTCGTTAGTAGGTGCTCATGCGGTTGGCTGCCTCTATAAGCACACCGACCTGAACGAGGTTATACCTCATTTTCCTGCTTTTTCTTACTCCTCCTCCTCCTCTCCCATCCCTCTCTCCCTCCCTCCCTCCCTCCCTCCCTCCCTCCCTCCCTCCCTTCCTCCCTCCTCCATCCCTCGCTCCACGTTCTTTCTGTTCAGGGACTGGCAAGCGCAGGTGGAGCGAACGATTCCCGCACAGTTCCAGCCAATGCGGCAGAAGCGCGAGTGGGACATGGACGTGCTCACGCGCTACAAGGCGCTGGTAAGCCTCGTCCCTGGTAGCCCCGTCCCTGGTAGCCCCGTCCCTGGTAGCCCCGCCCCTGGTAGCCCCGTCCCTGGTAGCCCCGCCCCTGGTAGCCCCGTCCCTGGTAGCCCCGCCCCTGGTAGCCCCGCCCCTGGTAGCCCCGCCCCTGGTAACCCCGTCCCTGGTAGCCCCGTCCCTGTTTTAAACCACTCATTCTTCCTGTGCTCATTCTCCTCCACTCCCCATGTCGCTCCCTTCACTCACTTACTTCCTCCCTCTCTCCCTACCTCTCTCCCTCTCTCCCTCCCTCTCTCCCCCTCTCCCTCCCTCTCTCCCTCTCTCCCTCTCTCCCTCTATCCCTCCCTTTTTCCCCCTCCTTCCCTCCCGCCTCGCCTCCCGCTAACCCAAACCCACAGTCGCACTTGACGCCAGAGGATGCGAGGCAGCAGACGCTGAGGATAATCCGAGCTCTCCCCTATGGCGGGTCCGCCTTCTACCACGTGAGGCGCATCGAGGACCCCATAGGGCTGCTGCCGGGACGAGTGCTTATCGGCATCAACAAGCGCGGGGTGAGTGGGCCTGTGACTGCATGTATGCCTGAGTATGAGCAAGTTCCGGACCCACTTGAACCATGTTCTCACCCTTAGATCATCCTCAGCATCGGCAAGCACACGGTTGGCGTGTCGTGATGGCATGGCGATCCGCCCACGCGCACACCCCCTCCCCTCGCAGGTGCATTTCTTCAGGCCAGTGTCCGAAAGAGTACATTTTTTAGGCGCCTCAAAAATAGTCTCCCCCTCCCCTCACAGGTGCATTTCTTCAGGCCAGTCCCCAAGGAGTACCTGCACTCAGCGGAGCTCCGAGACATCATGCAGTTTGGCAGCAGCCCCGCGGCGGTGTTCTTCAAGATGCGCGTGGTGGGCTCGCTGCACGTGTTCCAGTTCGAGACGACGCAGGGCGAGGAGATTTGCCTCGCCATCCAGACGCACATCAACGACGCCCTCACGCGCCGCTTCGCCCGCCAGAGAGCGCGCCACCACAACTCGCCACTGCTCGGCCTGCCTCCTGGTGCTAGCGGTGCTGCCGCTGGTGCTGCTGGTGGGAGTGGTGGGGGAGGAGGGGATGGGGTTTTGATGGCTGGTGGAGGCGGGTTGGGGGAGGGTCAGGGGCCGCACCCAATAACGGAGTATGAGCACCGGACCAAGGAGCTGTCGGAGAACTTGACAAGGGCGTTCATGCATATCGAGCAGGTAGAGAGGGCGCTTCCCCCCCCTGTCACGCACACAGTGCATCAATGTCCTCCTGCTTTGAGACGTCTCATAAGTAGATTATCATTCTCCCTTCCCTTCACACACACACACTGTGTCCATGCCCGTTATCTTCTGCCCTCCCTACCCCACCCCCTTCATAATTGTTGCTCCTTCCCGCCGCCCTTTCTCTCTGCCCCCAGTTGAACCAAGAAGTGGCAGCGAGGGCAGCAGCAGAGGCGAAGCTGCAGGGCGAGCTGCAGGCGGTGAAGGCGGCGCTGAGGCAGGGGGAGGTGGCGAACGAGGAGGTGGTCGAGGAGAGGGATCGTCTGGCTGAGCTTCTAGAGGTGAGTTGATGGGGGAACTGAGGGAGGAAAGGGGTGGCATGTGGGATAAAGGTGCAAGGCAGTTTCAAAGAGGCGCTCAGGCAGGGGGAGGTGGCGAACGAGGACGTGGTGGAGGAGAGAGATCGGCTGGCGGAGCTTCTAGAGGTGAGTGGGAGGGGGGAAAGGCGGGGATGTGGGATGTGGGGTGGGTGCATGGGATGCATGTAGGATGAAACATGGACGCACACGCTTATGCACACGGGACGTGGGTTGCTGTGGAAAGACAGGGCAGTCTCAAAGAGGCGCTAAGGCAGGGGGAGGTGGCGAACGAAGAGGTGGTGGAGGAGAGGGATAGGCTGGCGGAGTTGCTGGAGGTGAGTGGGACGATGGTCGGGGTGTGGCAGGGGAAGGGGGGGGGGGGGGGGGGGGCGCACGGGAACAGCAGGGGTGGCGAATGATGGGGTGGTGGAGGAGAGGGATAGGCTGACAGAGGCAGCCTATGGGTGATTGTACACAGGGAGGGAGACCACCAGTTCTCTGAGAAAAGGTGACGCCTTCACCTCTACAGTTTCCCTCACCTGTTGTGTAATCCTCTCTCCCCTCTCCCTCTCCCCTGTCACCACCCACAGATGGCGAATCAGCCAGGCAGGGAAGCGGCGCTGTCGTCCGGGTCGTTCACTCCTGGAGGCGTGAGGAGGAGGGACGGGCTTGGCAGCACGGGGAGCAACATGAGCCTGCTGAACGACGCCAGGACACGGGCCCTGGAGTCTCAGGTGCGTCTTGAGGTTGCGAAAATGTCGTTGTGAGGATTGGCTGGAGGAGGAGGGACGGGCTTGGCAGCACGGGGAGCAACATGAGCGTGCTGAACGGCGCCAGGACACGGGCGCTGGAGTCTGAGGTGCGTCTTGAGTTACGTTGAAAGCTACTTGGCATTGGTTTGCAGGAGTAGGAGCATGAGATTTACTTGGCAGCACGGGGAGCAACATGAGCGCGCTGAACGACGCCAGGACACGGGCTCTGGAGTCTCAGGTGCGTCTTGAGTTGCTTTGAAAGCTACTTGGCATTTGTTTGCAGGAGTAGGAGCATGAGATTGACTTGGCGGCATGGGCAGCAGCGTGAGCCTGCTGATTGACGCCAGGACGCGGGCACTGGAGTCTCAGGTGCGTCTTTACTGAGGATTGCCTGGAGGAGGAGAGATGGGCTTGGCAGTATGGGAAGCTGCCCCTGTCTCGTATGCCCTTTGCCCCATCCAGTACAAGGAGGTGCAGGAGGAGCTCAAGGCGGTGGAAGGAGGGCGGAGGAGCAGGCCAGTAGTGAGGCGCTTGAAACCTTCTCTCGTGTTCTCATATTCTTGTTTCGCCTCACCCGTTATTCTTGTTCCCCCTTGGCAGTGGGAAGGAGAGCAGAGGAGCAGGTCTGTAGTTAGGCGCCTGTAGTGAGGCGCCTCAAACCTCCGCTCATGTTCTCACACTCTTGTTCCCCCTTGCCCCTGTGTGCAGCTGAAGGAGGTGCAGGAGGAGCTCAAGGCGGTGGCAAGAGCAGAGAAGCAGGCAAATTCTCATAATCGCTCACACGCACACCTCATCTCATTCTTCCCGTTCCCCTCTGTCTCTGCTGCCGTGCGCCATTACCAGCTGAAGGAGGTGCAGGAAGAGCTCAAGGCGGTGGGCAGGCGAGCGGAGGAGCAGGCACAGGCAGCTGCAAGGGAGAGGCAGGCAGTGGAGCAGCAGCTTTCCAACCTGGAGCTCACAAAGGACAACGAGGTGAGGCCTTTCGGATTCCGGGTTGCTTTCCATGCCCCTGCTCTCCTCCCTGCTCGGTCTTTTAGTCGCCTCAATCATCGCTGCTGTTCTACTTCTCCTATCCTTTTGAATGCAACACCCTGCTTATTCCACTCACTTGCACAGCAGCATCTGAAGTGGCTCCAACGCCATCCTCACTCGACCCTTCTTCCCTCCTCCCTTCTCCGTTCCCCCTCCCGCCTTCCCCCCTCCTCCCCGCTCCTCCTCCCCACTCATTTCTCTCTCCCTACCAGATCAAGACGTTGGAGCTGCGCTCGTCAGCAGAGAGGGATGAGCTGGCGGCCAGGCTGGCAATTGCGGAGCAGCGATTGGAGGAGAGCCGGGCGGCGGAGGTGCAGCTTAGAGAGGAGCTGAAGGAGAAGGAGGCGCAGTCGGAGCACCTGGAGGAGTTCTTTAAAGAGCTGGACGAGCTCAGGGAGATGAAGGAGGTGCGTGTTGGGGAAAGGGTTTGGGGGGGGGGGGGGGGGAAGGGTTACAAGTTGGGATTTGGCTAATGGAGAGGAAGAAGGAGATGGAGGCGCAGTCGGAGCACTTGGAAGAGTTCTTTAAAGAGCTGGACGAGCTCAGGGAGATGAAGGAGGTGAGCGTGGGGGTGGGTTTAAATTAGGGTCGGGGTTTCGGGTTTGGAGGAGGGGAAGGAGACGGAGGCGCAGTCGGAGCATCTGGAAGAATTTTCAAGGAGCTGGTTTAGCTCAGGGAGATGAAGGAGGTGTGTGTGGGGCGGGGTTTAGGGTTTCGTGTCTGGGGCTTAGATTTGGGAGGAGAGGGAGAACGTAACGCATTGGAGATGGAGGAGCTGAAGGAGATAAAGGAGGTCCTTTAGTGAAGACAGTCATGAATCACCATTTGGGTGTACCTTCTCCTTATGGCTTCCCTATTGTCAATACTGTCTGGCAGGAGATGGAGAGGAACCGGGTGGAGCACCTGGAGGTGATACAGCGGCAGGGCAATCAGATAGCGGAGCTGGAGAAGGGAGATGATAGCACTCATCCCTTTGTGTGTGTCTTTCTGCTGCCGTCATGTGGTTTCTGTTCCGCGCTGCCCCGCAGGAGATGGAGCGGAACCGGGTGGAACACCTGGAGGTGATCCAGCGGCAGGGCAAGCAGATAGCGGAGCTGGAGAAGGCGTACAAGGAGGAGATCGTGCTGCGCAAGCGATACTACAACATGATGGAGGGTGAGTGGGTGTGAAGACATCAACTGCTTGAAGTGTGAATAATAATCGCTGGCAGCGAATTGGGGCCCATTTGTGGAACGTGAGGAGTGCTGGAAACGAGTGGAATTCTCCGCGTTTTGACTACTCTCCATCCCCATCAATATATCCCCATCAATATATCCCCATCAATATATCCCCATCAATATATCCCCATCAATATATCCCCATCAATATATCCCCATCAATATATCCCCATCAATATATCCCCATCAATATATCCCCATCAATATATCCCCATCAATATATCCCCATCAATATATCCCCATCAATATATCCCCATCAATATATCCCCATCAATATATCCCCATCAATATATCCCCATCCCTTCCGCCACTCCCCTGGAAAGCCCAGACGAGCTGACGGTGCAGCACCCGGGGAGGGACTGCGTGGAAGCATGCGGTGTCCTGAATCCTCCCTCTCCCATCCCCCAGACATGAAGGGCAAGATCAGCGTGTATGCACGGTGGCGGCCGCTGAGCTCGAGGGGCGGAGGAGGATGGTGGTGGAGATGCCGGATGAGTTAACGGTGCAGCACCCCTGGAGGGACGCCGTAGTGGAGTGTGGTATCCTGAGTCCCTCTTCCCCCTCCCCCCCCCCCCCTCCTCTCCCCGTATCCCCCCTCATTCCCCCAGACATGAAGGGCAAGATCCGGGTGTATGCGCGGTGGAGACCGCTGAATTCCAGGGAGCGGGGCGAGGGGCAGCGGATGGTGGTGGAGATGCCAGACGAGTTCACGGTGCAGCACCCCTGGAGGGACGCCGACCATCCCAAGGCGCACCAGTTCGACCGCGTGTTCGACCACTCGGCCAGTCAAGAGGCTGTGTTTGAAGACACACGGGTAAGAGAGTGTGCTTCGTCTTTGCCTTGGAGAAGATTCAAGAGTCATCACTTGAAAGATACAGTACACGTGTGTGTCATGTCCTTCCATCTGTTTCCCCTGCTGCTCGTTGCATGCAGTACCTGATACGACCACTTCATGACTGGTCCAGGGTCTTTATACTCGTGTACAGGTTTTGAGGCGCTTTATAAGCACTCTTCCGATCTTCTCTCCTTTCCCCTTGCTCCGTGCCCCTTGCTCCTCGCCCCCTGCAGTACCTGATCCAGTCGGCCATCGACGGCTACAACGTGTGCATCTTTGCCTACGGGCAGACGGGCAGCGGCAAGACCTTCACCATCTACGGTGGCGACAAGAACCCCGGGCTCACACCGCGCGCCATGCAGGAGCTCTTCAACGGGCTCAGGAAGGAAGCCGGGAGGATGAGCTACAAGCTGCAGGTGAGGAGGGTGGTTGGCATGGTGGTTGGAGATTGGAAGGGGGGGGTAGGGAGAGGGTGGTGGGGACAAGAACCCAGGACTCACAGCCTACACTTGCAGGAGCTGTTCAACGGGCTCAGGAAGCAGGCCGGGCACATGAGCTACAAGCTGCAGATGTGCGGGTTGGTACTTAGGTTCTGCAATTTTGGGATGGATGTGGGAGCGTTAGTTTCTCGCTGTCTTCTCCTTTATCGCCTGCACCATCCATCCAGGTGTACATCCTTGAGCTCCACCAGGATACCCTGCAGGACTTGCTGCTGCTCACTCACATACCCGCCTGCCCCTGCTTGCCCTTCACCCTGTTTGCCCCTCTCCTGTTCTGACCCGCCCACCCAGGTGTACCTGCTGGAGCTCTACCAGGACCTGCTGCTGCTGAGTCTGGCGACAGGTCCCTCAATTGCCCACTCTCGCTCACTTTCCTCCTATCCTCTCCCTCGCCCCCCCCCCGTCCTTCCAGGTGTACATGCTGGAGCTGTACCAGGACACGCTCCAGGACCTGCTGCTGCCGAAGACTGCAGCCAAGCGGAAGCTCGAGATCAAGAAGGACGCCAAGGTATGTAACATGTAACATGTTTCATGTAACATATAACTGCCTCAAGCTGAACAGTGACGCGCACTGGGGTTACTTTTCTGAAAGCTGCACGTCCTGTGTTTTGTTCCCTTCCTTGAGCTACCTCTCGCACATCAGTTTTCTGCCAAAGTTCAGCCATCTCAGGTGGTGCAGTGCCTCTCTCTGATCAGCTGTGGGTGGTGGTGCAGGGGGGTATGGATAGGGGGTCACTGGCTCTTCTGCTACCGCTCTCGACCGCATCCATGCCTTTCGTCTTGTTCCCCTCGTCCCTTATCTCCCTCAAGCCATGGTGGTGGTGCAGTACCTGTCGCAGCTCGAAGCAGTGGTGGCGGCCGGCATGGAGAGGCAGGCGGTGGCCGTTCTGGCACCATTCTTAACCGCTCTGTTTTCTGTGCCTGTCCCCATCGTCTTCCTCTCCTAATCCCCAGGGCATGGTGGTGGTTGAGAACGCCACCCTGATCGAGGTGCAGTACCTGTCGCAGCTGGAGGCTGTGGTGGCGGGCGGCATGGAGCGGCGGGCGGTGGCGGGGACCCAGATGAACGCGGAGAGCTCGAGGTCCCACCTGGTGCTGTCGATCGTCATCGAGACAACCGACCTGCAGACCCAGAACGTGTGCCGGGGAAAGGTGAGAGCAGGAGAGGAGTGTGTGGGGGGGGGGAAGTGTGTGTGTGTGTGTGTGTGTTGGAGAGTCAGCAAGAGTGTGTGTGTTTTCTTTCTGACTTCCTGCTTTTAGAGAGTTGCAAACACGACCTGCTGACACCCAACCACCCCAACACCCCCCCCCCACTTAGCCCGTCACCAACATCCCTCCCCATTCTCCTCCTCCTCCCTTCTCCCTCTCTCCTCAGCTGAGCTTCGTTGACCTGGCCGGCTCTGAGCGTGTGAAGAAGTCGCGGTCGGAGGGGGAGCAGCTGAAGGAGGCCCAGTCGATCAACAAGTCCCTCTCGGCTCTCGGGGATGTGATCAGCGCACTGGCGCAGGGCGGCGGGCACATCCCCTACCGCAACCACAAGCTCACGCTGCTCATGAGCGACTCGCTGGGCGGCAACGCCAAGACGCTCATGTTCGTCAACATCTCGCCAGCGGACGGCAGCCTGGACGAGACGCACAACTCCCTCACGTGAGTACCTGGGGCTTGGGGGTTGGGGGGTGGGGATTTGGAGGCTAAGTGAGGTGATGGTGCTAGGCTTGTGCATTGTTAGGGCAGGAGGGGGCATTGGGAGGGGGCATTGGGAGGGGGCATTGGGAAAAGGGGCATAGGGAGAAGGGGGCATAGGGAGAAGGGATCATTGGGAGGGGGGAGGGGCACGTCCCGTACCGCGACCACGTGCTCACGCTGCTCGTGAGCTTGATTGTGAACAAGGCGTCAAATAACGTCTCTAACAAGGAGGCTCATTGTCCCTCTCTCCTTCTCTTCCCCCCACCTAACAGCTACGCCACGCGCGTGCGCTCCATAGTTAAACGAGGCGTCCACAAACGTGTCGAACAAGGAGGTGCAGTGGCTCAAGGGCAGGATCGCCCTCTAGAGACTTGACCAGTAACCCCTTCCCTCCTCCCCTCCTCCCGTCTCTCCATGTGTGTGTGCAGGTACGCCACGCGCGTGCGCTCCATCGTCAACGAAGCGTCCAAGAACGTGTCGAACAAGGAGGTGCAGTGGCTCAAGGGCAGGATCGCCTATTGGAAGCAGCTCGCGGGGGAGAGGGCGGAGGAGGAGGAGCTGGACGAGGTCAGCGAGCTACGGACGCCTGTCAGGCGGGCGCTGGAGCCAGGAAGCTCAGGGTCTCAGTAAGAAAAGGGGGTGTGGGTGGGGAGGGGAGAGGCGGGCGGAGGAGGAGGAGGAGTTGGATGGGTGAGCAAGCTGAGGACGCCGGGCAGGAGGGTGCTGTGGCAAGGAGGGGGGTGTGAAGGGCACTGGAGTAAGAAGGGGGTGAGGATGGGGGGGGTAGAAGAAGGGCGGAGGAGGAGGAGTTGGACGAGGTGAGCGAGCTGAGGACGCCGGTCAGGAGGACGGTGGAGCAAGAAGGGGGGTGTGGTGAGGGTGGGGCGTGAAGCAAGGAGGGGGGGAGGGGGGGGTAACAATGGAGGAGTGAGATCGCCTGCCAGGAGGGCACTGGAGTAAGAAGCGGGTGAGGGTGGGGGTGTGGAGCGAGCAAGGGAGGAGTTGAGATCCCCTCAGGAGGGCATTGGAGGAAGGAGGGGTTGTGAATAGCGCTGGGGTCGTGTAAAGCCTTGGAGTGGCATAGAGGTGAGGAGCAGCGAAGCGCAGTGGTTTTCTTTGGAAGCAGATGGCAGAGCAGGGGGAGTTGGACGAGGTCTTGATTGTTTCTAGTCAAGGAAGTGCGGGGGGTGGTGGGGGCAGCAAGGAAGTGCGGGGGGGAGTGGAGGTGTGGAGCAAGGAAGTGCGGTGGGGGGTGGGGGCGTGGAGCAAGGAAGTGCGGTGGGGGGTGGGGGCGTGGAGCAAGGAAGTGCGGGGGGGGGTCGGGGTGTGGAGCAAGGAAGTGTGTGATAGCTGAAGGAAGCCACCTAGGAGCTGAACGGAGATTGGTTACTAGGAGGAGGGCTCTCAAGTACGGTAGGGCAGACCGGGGGAGGAGCCAAGAGTGGGCTGTGTGTTCTCGAGGAGCAGCGGAGTCAATTCCCGATCGATGCCGGAACATTCTCGCATGAGTTGCTCGAGACGTGTGGGGGGGTGAAGAGATAGTTACTTACAACCTTTGACCACAAGCCAGAGGGTTGCTTGCTTCACATGCTACTGCATGAGAGCATGGTGCCCCCAATGTGATGCTTTTCCTTCATGGTCAACGTGGGCAAACCTTGTGCGCATCAACAACAGGTGTAGATACGTAGAGTAGGTACTTGTGTTTTCTTCTCTGCCATCAGTGTTCACTGCCATCCCATCCTAAGGCCATACAGCGAGGGCACTGCTGGTACATGATGAGTTTTGTATCTGAGCCATTGTTTGGAAGCTAAGGGGTAAAAGACTCACGTGGATTGGAGAGAACTGTGCTCTAGAAGTGTTGTGTCTATGGAGTCGAGAGATGGTTGATGGGAAGCAGCTGATCGACCATGAGATTCCAGAATCAATCACCGCTCATTACCAAGCGAAGCATGAGAAGACCCTTTGGCACAGATGTATACATTGCACAGCAGCATGCCTCCTGGAATGAACATCACATACATTTATTCAATAGATTACACAGGTGTACTTGCCAGCCCACAACCAAGGCTCCTGACCTGACCGATGGGAGCCCGACTGAAATATACATGTATGCTACACCCACCACCACTGCAGAGTACAGATTCTTTATCGAGTTGCTGCAATCAGTCGGTGCGAAGTAGATCGCCAGCTTACGATGAGACGTGGAAGGCAGAATGGCCCCTCAAATTGAGCCGCACCGGGATCCTGCCTGCTCCTCCACCTGTTTCCGAGTCGACACAAAAGCCAGCCTGGTGCAAAGAGGCTTGCCGGCTTAGGCTGAGATGTGGAAGGCGGAACGACCCCTCAGGTTGAGCCGCACCGGGATCTCCTGCTCCTCCACCTGCCTCCACGCTGCCTCTCTCGCCTCTTCAATCGCCTCTCTCTGCCTGTCCGCCAGCGAATCAGCATCCACCATCTCATACGAGGTCAACTTCACCGGAGTCTCCTCCTCCTCCAACTGCTTCCATGCTGCTGCTCTCGCATCCTCTTGCTTCTCCGCCTCCTGCTTCATCGCCTGTGTCTGGATGGCGGCAAGTGAATCAGCATCCACCATCTCATACGAGGTCAGCTTCACCGGAACTTCCTGCTGCTCCAGCTCCCTCCAAGCAGCCTCCTTGGCGCTCGCTTCCCTCTCCGTCATTGCTTCCTCCATCGCCGCTGCTTGGCTTGTGACCAGGGAGTCGGAGTCCACCAGGGAGAAGGACACCAGCCGGATGGGGATCTCTTCCTCCTCCATCTCCTTCACTGCCGCTGCACGTGCCGCCTCTTCTGTCGCCTCCTCCTCTTCCTCCGGTGCCTTGCTGCCTGCAGCAGCACGTGCTGCCTCCTCTGCCTCCTGCTCCTCCGCAGCTGGTTCGTCTTCAAACGCCTCCAACGCACTCCCTCCTGCTACCGCTGCTGCTGCTGCTGTCGTTTGCTCCTGCTCCGTTGCCAGACCCTCCTCCTCAATCTGCTGCATCACCTGAGGATTCTCCTGAAACGGTGCAGTCTTCTTCCTTCCTTGCTCCTCCTCCTCCTCCTCCTCCTCTTCCCTCTCCCCTCCTTCCCCTTGCTGCTGCTCCAACTCGAAGAGCTCGAGGGCCTCCACTCTGTGAGGATCTGCGATGTCGTTGTTGCCACTCTCCTGCTCGCTGCCGTGCACAGCTTCCAGCTCCAAGAGCTCGAGGGTCTCCACTCTTTGGGGCCCGGCAGGGCCAACAGCACCAGCTGCTGACGCCGGCACAGCATCTGCAGCAGCAGGCTCTGCCATGTCGTTGACGCCGCTCCCCTGCTCGCTGCCTTGCATGGCCTCCAGCTCTAGAGCCGCCATGGCTTCAACGTTGTTCTGATATGCCTGCATTGCCTCCTGCTGCTGCTGCTGCTGCTGCTGTTGCTGGTTCACAGTGATCTCCTCCCCCTGCTGCTGCTCCTGAGTTGCTGCTTCCACTAGCCTGAGCTCTTCCACTTCCTCGTCTTGCATCCTCTCCATGCCCCCTTCCAATTCCCCCTCGAACCCCCCTTCGAACACCCCCATCACGTGCCTGTCGTGCTCCTCCTCCGCCTCTGCTGTCTCTGCCTGCCGCTCGTCTGCCGCCTCCTGCTCATCCTCGTCAGTAGCCTCCTCGAAAAGGGACAGCGCGCTTTCAGCAGGTGTGGGAGTGTCGGTGTCGGTTGTACGCGTTTTAAGGGAAGTCGCGTTGCAGAATCGAGTCCCGACGCTGCAAGCGGAGAGACGAGGGCACGAAGGGGCAGAATGAAAGGAAAAAAAGAAAGAGTTTAGAGGAGGGGTGCGCGGATAGGGATGGCAGGGAGGTAGCGGGATGGCACGAAAATCGGGGAGGAAGGGAGACGAGGGATGTGCACCGACTTACAAGGCGTGTTGTTCGTCAGGCAGCGGCGCACAAGCCAGCAGAAAATAGGAGAAGCAGGGCGGACAAAGCAGCAGGGGGAGCGGCGAAATAGACGCAGAGGGGGGCATCCAAGCCGACCGGCTGTTCTTACAACGCGTGCTTGCTGGGGAGAGACTCCGCCGGCCCACCCGCGGAGCACACGTCAGCGGAGAATAGAAGGCAGCGGGGTGAGGGGAGGATAGGCGCAGAAAGAGACGCAGGAGACACCGTCGACAGGCGGTACTTACAACGCGTGTTGCTCGCCGGGAAGGAAAACGGCGGGCTTATCGGCGGCGCACACGTCATCGGAGAACAGAAGGCAGCGGCTGGAGCGGAGGAAGAGGTTCCAGTACGTGCAATCGGCGCGCTGCTGGCACTCGCGGCAGCAGTCCGCCGCGAGCGCGGCCGGCGGAAGCGGAACGCCGTTGGGGATCGCGGGGAGGCGGAAGGGCTTGGAGCCCTGCACGGCGAATCGACCCACGTAGACCTGCGACTTGCACGCGGGATTCGCGGCGGCGGATGCGGGGCCCGCGGGTGACGTGGCGGGCGGGCAGTCGACGCCGATTGGGCGGAAGGAGGGGCAGTTGTTCGCTGAAGTTGGCGCCGCGAAGAGCGCGAGGACGAGGAGGAGGAGGGAAAGTGTTGTTGGTGTTTGGAGACGAGCGGGCCGGCTGCGACTCGCCATGGCGCGTGACTGAGTGGCGCTTGGTGGACGAAGTTGCTCGTCGCTGCTGCTGCCGCCGCTGCTGCTGTCGCTGCTTCGGCGTGTGGGGAGCCGGCTGCTGCGGCGGTCACGAGAATTGAGGCCGACGAGAGTTAGCGGCGGGGGCTCCTCGGCGAGAAAGTTGTTCCGACGCGGTTGCGATGTGAAGGTGTGTCAATTACCAGACGTTCTGAGAGTTTGCTGCTGGTGAGACTTGATATGCTACGAGCGCAGCAGGTTCCAGACGTTTCAGATTCTCGCAGAAACACCCGAGGAGGAGTAGGTCGAAAGACGCGACTTATAACGGGATTGCTGCCCTTCGTGCGAAATCTAGCAGCTAAAAACGTGAGAGGCGAGGCAATGGTGATGAGGAGAAAACACGGCAGCAGGGAAAAGAAGAACCGAAAGCGGAGGGGTTTGTTCAGGTATTTGAGCTGGTTGAGAAACGAGGGAAATGACAAAGCTTGGCTTCTGACTAATTGGCGGTTTCAGGCGGGGTGTATATTTGCCCGCCCCGGGTGCCTGATCTCGTGCTCTGTTGGGCTGGCGGGAAAGCCAGGAGAATTCTCACACCTATTGCCTGTCTCTCCTGCGGAGCGGACACTATCGCGTTCCCCCCTCCTGATGCTGCCTGAGCTCGCTCGGCGATAGGTTCGTGTAAACCCTAGGGACTGCCACAAAGACTTGCGATTGCGGAGGCTGTGCTGCTGGTGATTCTATCAGTCGGGAAAAGCTCCTGGAGGGAAAGAAAGGGACTTTTCTGTGGTTGGACCTATGGCACCAGCTGGTGCATTTTCAGGGTTGTGCTCAGGAGGATATGTGAGAGGACGCCTGAAGTTTGCTCTGCAGCGCAAACGTAGAACACGCCGAAAGTTCCCCGCAAGTTTTTGGCGGAAATTGCGTGAATTTCCGGGTTCGGTGATTGACTTGCCCGTTCAAAACGAATTGCTTATTCCCTGCACTCTGACTGGGCTCGCTCCACTTCACCATCTCAGTACGAGGGCCAGGAAAACAAGGGTCCCGTTTAGTTTGGCCTCAGCTTTAGAATTGCGTGAGGAGCATTTACCCGTAGAACTGTTTCATCTGACACACATGACGCCCAGATGACAACGGTTTTCGCGAAGATTTCAGTTCCGACGACGCGTTACAAGTCGTTCCTTAGCTCGTGACTCTCGCTTTCGTCTCAGTGTGTAAAAAATCGTTTTACAACACACAACTACTTCAGAATGTACGAGCCTTGGTCAAGCTTGTAGATTCGCATAACGCATGGGCTTCTACCGCGTTCAGGGACATTTCGCGCGATGCTTCCAGCAGTTCACATACCTCTCCCTTGCACGCTAGACTGGATCAGAGACGACGAACGTACTTCCGCTCCGCACGGCTCACTGCCTCGAATATTCTCCTCGTTCGTTCTCGCCACCATCCGCATTGACACCAGCGGCCCTCCCGTGATCCCTGCTTCGAGCGACCTCCTACCTCCCTCCTCCTTCCTCCTTCCTCCTGATTCGTGCCCGGCCAAGCAAACGGAATCCATGGCGGGAACATACGCTGGTGATGCGCCTCGGCGCAAGAACCAGAAAGGACAGGCGCAGAGCGCGCAAGTATGGCGGAACATGAACGACGGGAAATGGGGGACACGTGGCGAATGGTGGGCGGTGGTTCAGCTCATCCCGTTCGCCCTCGTTCTCTACCCTCCTCCGTCTCTCCTCCCCGCCTTCCTTCCCGCCTCATTCTGCGCTTCCCCCTCTCCCAATGCGGCCTCGCTGGGGCTCCTCTCCTTCGACGCCATACGCGTTACTGGCGTTTTGCTCGCTATAAGCTCCTGCGTCTTCTTCGTATCCGCGCTAAAAGACCTTGGAGAGAGCTTGACACCTTTCCCGAAGCCCGCAGCCGCAGCAACTCTTCAGACAGGAGGCTTGTACTCGATTGTGCGTCATCCAATATACGCTGGAGCTATTTTCTTTGGTGCTGGGCTGACACTGGCAACATGCAGCAGCGATAGGTTGGTGTACACTGTACTTTTGGCTATGTTTTTGGACAGAAAGGCGAGTGTAGAGGAGGTATGGCTCAAAGAGAAATTTGGACAGCCATACGTAGGATACAGTAGCCGGGTGAAGAAGCTGATCCCTTTGGTCTACTAGTGGGGAATATGACACAGAGGAGATGATCTGGCAACTTGGCAAGAGGAATGCTGCTGATGTGCCTTGATAACCAGTTCCAGGCATGCTGGTACATGGTTTATAGCATACGGTAATAATGCAGGCCCGCTGGCATTGGCCTACTTGTTAAGCTAGGAAAAACTAAGCGGCCATAGTATACGAGAGGAGGTTTTGGCTAGGGGGAGAAGTTACGAGAGAAAAGGTGCATGATTAGAAAGAGAGAGAGGTACAAGGAGGGGGCTGTACCCCCTACAGTAGAGTTCAATAAAACCTACCAAGCCTACCAATTATATAACACAAAATATAAATTAACACACCCCCTAGGCTTGGTGGTCACAAGCCCGCCCAACACTAGACACCCCTAACTGTCAAACATGTCTATGTGTTATGTTTGTATAGACTGTATAGGGTAGCCTCTTAGAGGATACAACACTTAGCTATATTGTGTGTACTCTCTCTGTATCACCAACACTTCAATTTCTGATATGGTATCACGCGTAGGTAGGATCCCCCCCCCCCCCCACCTACCGCTTCCGCTCGCCCCCCTAGCCCCGTCGCGACCCCCCCCTAGCCCCGTCGCGCCCCTTCCTGGGACCCGTCGCGCCCCTCCCTGGGCCCCGTCGCGCTCCTTCCTGGACCCCGTCGCGCCCCTTCCCAGGCCCCGTCGCGCCCCTCCCAGGCCCCGTCGCGCCCCTCCTGGGCCCCGTAGCGCCCCTCCTGGGCCCCGTAGCGTCCCTCCTGGGCCCCATAGCGCCCCTCCTGGGCCCCGTCGCGCCCTCTCTGGGCCCTGTAGCGCCCCTCCTGGGCTCTGTCGCGCCCCTCCCAGACCCCGTCGCGCCCCTCCCAGGCCCCGTAGCGCCCCTCCTGGGTCCCGTCGCGCCCCTCCCAGGCCCCGTAGCGCCCCTCCTGGGACCCGTCGCGCCCTTCCTGGGCCCCGTAGCGCCCCTCCTGGGCCCCGTCGCGCCCCTCCCAGGCCCTGTAGCGCCCCTCCTGGGACCCGTCGCGCCCCTCCTGGGCCCCGTAGCGCCCCTTCTGGGCCCCGTCGCGCCCCTCCCAGGCCCTGTAGCGCCCCACCTGGGACCTGTCGCGCCCCTCCTGGGCCCCGTAGCGCCCCTCCTGGGCCCCGTCGCGTCCCTCCCAGGCCCCGTCGCGCCCCTCCTGGGCCCCGTAGCGCCCCTCCTGGGCCCTGTCGCGCCCCTCCTGGGCCCCTGCAGCGCCCCTCCTGGGCCCCCCGTCGCGCCCGCCCGGTCCTGTCGCACCAGCCTGGCCCCGTCGCCCACGCTCGGCCCCGTCCTGCTCGCCCGGCCCCGTCGCAGCCGCCCGGCCCCGTCGCATCAGCCCGGCCCTGTCGCGCCCGCCCGGCGCCGTCGCACCGGCCCGGCCCTGTCGCCCCCGCCTGGCCTAGTCGCCCCTGCCCGGCCCCGTCGCGCTCGCCCGGCCCCATCGCCCCGGCCCGGCCCTGTCGCACCAGCCCGGCCTTGTCGCGCCCGCCCGGCCCCGTCGCGCCAGCCCGGCCCCGGCGTCCTCGCCCGGCCCGGTAGCACCTGCCCGGCCCCGCAGCCCCGGCCCCGTCCTCCTCCCTGGTATGGTTCCCCCCCACCTTGCCCAGCACAGCCCTGCACCGTACCGCCACGCACCACCCTGTACTGCCTTACACCGCACTGCACCGCACTGCACCTCACTGCACCGCACTGCACCGCATTGTACCGCACTGCACCGCACTGCACCGCACTGGACCGCCCTGCACCGCACTATACCGCACTGCACCGCACTGCACCGCACTGTACTGCACTGCACTGCACTGCACCGCCCTGCACCGCACTGGACTGTTCCTGATGGCGGCGGAGCTTCGCTTCGACGCTGAAGGTCAGCCCCTAGAGTTCGAGGCGTGGCTTGCCGACCTCCGCCGCCAACTCACTGGCCAGCGGCAGGATGGTGAACCGCTTTCCGCACATCTTGACGGTACGCTCCCCTGCCCAGACCCTCCTGCTATTCTGCCCGCTGACCCCACACCCACTGAGCGTGAGTCTACTGCTGCCGCTGCCCGTGCGCGCTCTGTCTGGCTTTCTCGCCATGCTGTCGCCCACCTTGCCATTAGCAACGCCCTCCCCCCGTCCGAGCGTCCTCGCTTTAGGTCCCTCACTACTGCTCAGGCATACTTAGATGCTGTCATCAAGCGCTATTCCACCCCTCCGGCTGCCTCGGTGGGTCGCCTGATCCTCCCGCTGCTCTTTCCTGACCTTGCTTCGTTCCCCACTGTCTCTGACCTCGCTGCCCACCTGCGCTCGATAGAGGAGACCTGGCGCGCCGCCTGCACTGACGCACAGCTTAGAGCCCACCAGCCGCCCATTACCTCTACCCTCTACCTGCTTGCCACCCGCCTCCCTGACCGCCTTGCTGTCGCCCGCGACCGCTTCCTTAGTGTTCACCCCGCAGACCTCACCCTCACTGACTTTGTCGACACCCTGACTGTGATAGAGACCCGTCACCGCTCCATCGCCCAGGCGAGCGGTGCTGTGCCGGTCCCTATCTTTCAGGGTTGTGCCCCCGCTCAGTGCACCTTCTCCGACGGCTCTGCCGCAGTGGCTGAGACTGCTGCTGCAGCGCAGGCCCGTTCTGGGAAGGGCCGCCGCCCCAAGGCTGGGCGCGGCGGAGGGGGCGGCGGGGGTGTGGGCGGGGGTAGTGGTGGGGTCGGGTCGCCTGGTGCTGGAGCGGACGAGGGGACCCTGCCCAGTCCAGCTGAGTCGCCGCCCCTGCAGTTGCAGCAGCCGCCGCAGTCGCAGCCTTCGCAGCAGCCGCAGCAGCCGTTGCAGACGCGGCAGACGAGTGTCCTCCCGCCAGGGTGGCCCGGCGCTGGCGGTGGACGGGCGCGTGGTGGTGTGCCGCGTGGTGGCTCTGGCGGCGGGCGTTGTCAGTACCAGATCCAGACCGGTCCTCGCCGCGGCTTCGTTTGCGGTAAGATCGGTCACTCCACTCCCCGCTGTTTTCGTCGCCTGGACGACCTCTTTCGTCAGCGCTTCGGCCCGTCGCCAGACCTCCCGGACTGGCACAGTTTGCTTAGTCGACAGATTCAGATCTTTGATATGGACATGGATGCCATTGTTTCTGCTCTGCATGTGATGTATGCTGATGACTCTAGTGTGCTTCCGGCTTATTACTCACTGTTGCCTAGTGTAGGTGTGCCTAGTGTACCCTCCCCTGCTGCGTCAGGCGTAGGATCCCCTGCTTTGTGTAGTCTTGGTGCTTCTGCCGTCGTTCCGTCGCCAGCCCCCTCGGCTTCGCTTTCCTTCACCTTGGACTCTGGCGCCTCTCGGTGTTTCTTCCGCGACTCCACCACCCTGACGCCGCTTCCTGTTCCTGCTGCCGTTTCTCTTGCTGACCCCTCCGGCGGTCCGGTAGTCGCCCGCAGTTCCACCACCCTTCCCTGTCAGGCGGTTCCGTCGGGCTCTCTTACAGGTCTGCATATCCCCTCGTTCTCCAGGAACCTAGTTGGTGTCGTCTGCCTCCAGGACCTTGGCGTCACCACTACGTTCCCTGGTCACGAGCGGTATGCTGTCTGTACTGAGGCCGCCACTGGTGCCCCCCTGTCCACGTTCCCCCGGGACCCGGTATCCGGCCTGTTCACTCTGGACACCGTGCCCCCCCCGGCTGGAGCGCCCCCTCAGGTGGCTGTGTCTACCCAGGTTGCTGCTGCCTGCTCCTGTCGCTCCCTCACTCACCCGACCCTCCAGTGGCACCACCGCCTAGGTCACCCTGCGCTCCCGCGTCTGCGTCACATGTCCCAGCACGGTCTTGTCCTTGGTCTCCCAGGTTCACTCCCCGCGTTTCCCTCCTCCCCAGCTCCACCTTGCACGCCTTGTGTCGAGGGTCGGCTTCGCCGTGCCCCTCACTCCTCCTCGTTCCCCCCTACCGCCACGCCGCTGCAGACCCTGCACCTGGATGTCTGGGGCCCCGCCCCCGTCCCAGGGCCGCGTCGCGAGCGCTACTTCCTTGTGCTTGTCGACGACTTCACTCGTTACACCACAGTCTTTCCCCTGGAGCGCAAGGCCGACGTGCCTGGCGCCCTCATCCCCTGGCTTGTCTCTGCGCGTGTCCACCGCGGTCTCCCTGTCTTGCGTCTTCACTCAGACCGTGGTGGCGAGTTTGCCTCAGGTGTCCTTGGTCGCTTTTGTCGTGCGGAGGGCATCACCCAGACGTTCACCCTACCGGACTCCCCACAGCAGAATGGGGTCGCTGAGCGACGCATCGGCTTGGTCATGGAGGTCGCTCGCACCTCCATGGTCCATGCCGGTGCACCCCATTTTCTGTGGCCGTTCGCTGTGCGCTACGCTTCTCACCAGCTTAACCTGTGGCCGCACCCTCAGCAGCCGCAGGTTTCGCCGACCCGTCTGTGGACTGGGTCTCCTGGTGACGCGTCTGCGTTCCACGTCTGGGGCTGCCTTGCTCACGTCCGTGCCTCCGGCACGGACAAGCTCACTGCCCGCACCCTTCCCTGCGTCTTCCTCGGTTTTCCCCTTGACGCGTCCGACTGGCACTTTTACCACCCGCCGTCTCACCGCTTCTTTCACTCTCGTGACGTCACCTTTGACGAGTCCGTCTCCTACTACCGCCGCTTCCCCCACCGTGGTCCCCCGGTTACCCCCCCCTGTTCCTGGTCACCCCTTCCCCGGTAGTCCCTGCCCCTCCTCCTCCTCCTCCCCGTCCCGCCCCCTCTGGTGTCTCCCATGTCACCCCCCTTCCGTCCGTGGACCCGGTTGAGGAGTCTTCTGACTCTGGTGGCCCTCCGGTGCAGTCCTCGCCGGCCGCCCCTCCCCAGGTGTCCCCTCCCCAGTCCCCTCCTCCGCCGTCCCTGCCCCCCCTGCAGCCGTCGCCGTCGCCGCCGCCGCCGCCGCCGCCGCAGTCGCAGCCCCCGTTCGCTGACTCTGGGGGTGCTCGTCCCGGTCGCCCTGAGGGTGGTCCCTCTGGGGGTGCGGGTGTGGAGAGTGCCGGTGGTAGCCGAGGAGCAGCTTGCGGTCCAGGTGTCGCCGTTGTGCCGCCGCAGCAGCAGTCCCCGCCGGTGTCCGCCCTTCGCCTGCTCGGCCTTCCGTCCCCCGACCCTGCGTCGGTTCCTCCCCGACCGTCTCCTCCTCTTCCTGTCTACGGCCCTGTTTTCCCTCCG